GATGGTTTCCTTTCCTTTTCTGGGCATACCCGGGGAAGCGGTTCTTTATCGCCGGCAGGTTAAGTCCTGAACCAGCGGTTGCTTCTCTGTATTTCCACCGCCGTGGCGTGCCGAAGTCACACCAATTCCCGTTGCTAGCCGCAACTAGACGAGATGCGCGTAAAAAAGCAGCACACCGCCGAGCAATGAATGTTGTAGGATCAGGAGCTTTCTCCTTTGACCAAAATGTCGAAATGAAAGGGCCGCCAAACCAATTGGAACACCCCAGCAATTTACGGGTCACCTGGATCAGAAGTTTAAAAGTGTCCGAGAAAGAAGTCTCGGAAGAGGCAGATCTGCAGCTCTAAGATGATGGTGTGATGACGGCAATCCGTCATGCATTTCTCCTTATGTCCTGCCACCCTAGCAGGCGGTTCGACTCGGAACAACATAATACTACTCATGGCTCAAGGGCATGCAAGCAACACCTTGGCGCAAGAGGCCAATGCACTCCATCCTTTTCGTAATGCAATAATGATATTCTCAACACAGGTTAGGCAGGTCTGTTGAAGACCGAAATGTGGTATTATCCCTTCTTTTTGTTTTTAAACGCCAAATGATCGAGGAAGAACAAATCCCATGCAAAATAGAGATAAAATGACGTGACTGAAAAAAAAAAGAACAAAAAACGACATAAAATGGTCATTAGGAAAGTCACCTGTTGGCGCAGTTGGCTGCAGGTAGCTACCTGCTCGCCTCCTTCTGCCGCTGCTCCTCTTCCATCTGCTCACGCCGCTTGTGCGCCGCCTCCACGTCTGCCTTGGCACCCTTGGCCCGCTGCCGTGCCTCGTACCGGTCCCGGCTGGCCAGGATCCGGTCCACAATCGTGCCCGCGTTTACGCCGGCGAACTCGTGCGGGCCCACCGGCTCGTAGATGCCCATAGCCTTGGGCTCCGTGTAGGGGTCGTACGTGAGCGGGATGAACGCCGTGGGGCCGTGGTAGACGGCGTCGGGGATGCCCCAGGGGAGCGACGACAGGTACTTGCGCGTCGGCGAGAAGGGCGCACCAAACACGACGGCGTTGATGTACCGGCACTGCAGCACGCACAGGCCGCGCTCGTAAATGTTCATAATCGGGTAGTTGATGCCTTTCCACTCGTTGATGACCTCGTCGTCGTGCACGCCGGCCACCACAAACGCCGGCGGGTAGTCGCCCGCCGCCTTGCCCTGGCGCTCGGCCACGGCCTCGGGCGCATACCAGCCGTCGGCGCGCGCGCGGGCCTCCTCGGCCTCGTGCACCCGCTGCAAAAAGGAAATGTGTCCGCTCGAGAACAGGTCGAAGCCGCCGTCGACGTACACCACGCGCTGGCCAATCTGCGGGCCGCGGCCCTGCACAAGGTCCGTCAGTGCGCCTTTTGCGTCAGGACCGGCATCCGGGGCGGGGTCCTTCCAGAACCACACGTCGACGCCCGGCTTCTTGGCCGTCTCGTCCGTCGCGTACAGCCGCATCCGCTCCGTCATCGCCTGGCCCGTCGCTTTGCGTTCTGCGTCTGTGCCCGGGCCCTCGCGCCCCGCCAGCGTCTCCTCCAGCGACCGGATAAAGTGCGTCTTGGTGCACAGCAGCATGCGGCCCACCAGGTCCGTCGTCGAGATGCTCGGCGTGCGCTTCACCACCTTGAACCGGTTGGCCGCCTTGACGAACCGGTAGCAGTCCTCGCCCGACCCGTCCGATGTAATGTCGTCGCCGTGCACCACGTAGCGGCAGCCAAAGTGCGACACCCACTCGAGCGTCGTGACGTACGGCGCGTTGGGCACCGACTGCGTGACCCAGCGGCAGGCCTCGACGGCAATCAGTCGCTCTCGGAGATTCATGACGGTGGGGCCTTTGTTCTCGAGGATGGCCTCGTCCGAGTGCACGCCAATGTAGAGCTCGTCGCCGAGCTGGCGGGCCTGGACAATGGCGCCGGCGTGGCCTGCACGGACGGAGTTAGCCCGAGTCTGCAAGGAATTATTGCCACAAGCAAGATCAAGCAAGTCGGCCGCACATACCATGGTGGAAGAAGTCAAAGCAGCCGTCGACCCAGAGCCGGCCGTCGAGCAGCTCCGGTGCCGGCTCGCCAGGCGGGGCACCATCGGAAGACATAATGTGGTGGGTGGTGGTGTGTCGGTGAGAGAAGCAGACGCAAGGATTGCCGCCTAGCGGGACGGATGCAGCTTTCCAACAGGGAGAGGTTGTTTGGGAGAAGGCCGGAGAGAGCCGTTTGACGGCCAAGGAGGTTGTTGCGTCGTAAAGTTAAGGGACGTGGGAGTTGCCCCTTCCGTTCTGCACTAATAAATTTACCCGTTGGTGGGTAGCTCCTTCCCCCTTGTGGGATGGCGGGACATTGTGTGGCCCAAGCCAAGCAAGAGCAAAGCAACGGCAAACCGTGACTGTCTTTTTTCTTTCGCGATAAGACATGTCTCTTGCTGTGCACTGTCAGTGGTTGTTTTATCAGCTATTACAGAATACTTGGCATTTAACCGTTGTCATCATTGACAGCAGAATCGGTGCATTGATCCAGCTCTCTTGCTCCCCGCCAGATTTTGAGCTCCAGGAGCTGCTCCAGTAGCGCCTTCCCTAGTTGTCGTTCCTGCCCGCGCCGTCCAATACAGACCCCACGTTGGCATACGGCAAGAGCATACGAGTGCGAAAGTGCGCCCGTACATATCACGAAGCTGTAGCACGGCTGACTTGCAGGTCTCTCCATTGGACAATTTGGCCGACGTTGCGGTTGTGGTATGCCTGTACTTCTGATTGCAGCTATCTATGGTACGTACTTGTCATTACAAAGTGCCAGTACGCGCATGGAAGTCAAGGCGCTCAAGTCAAAATTTTATAATTAGCCTGCAAAAATGATGAAAATAAAACGCTACCTGCATCTTCTTTAAACATACAAGTGTGCCCTGCGTGATCCCTATCAGACAAGAAACAAGAGAAATATGAAGGGAGACAGACACCAAATCCTCCAAACAGCCATGAGAGTCCCTGGCCATCCCCTGTAGATAATACCTGCCCTTTTCCTGCAAGTCCTCCTCATTCTTCGTTTTGTACAGCCCCTCTACCGCTTCTTCACGCTGGGCCGGGGCTTGCACTCGTCTGGCAGCACCGGGTGCAGCATGATCTTGGTCGGGTATTGCGCATTGTTGCCCTGGTAGCCCTTGGCCCAGTCGTACGACACGGCGTACACAAACACCTTGCCGTCGCGGTTGAACTTGGCCGATGTGATGCTGCCGCCGACCGACGGGTAGCCCTTGAGCCGGTGCTTGGCGTCCTTGTCCCAGAAGTGGAACGTGCCGTCGGAGCCGGCCGTCGAGAAGGTGCCGTGTGCCGGGTTGAAGGAAATGTCGTTGACGGCGTACACCAGCGTGGTGTTGTTCTGCGGCGCGTCGCGGTGGCAGCGGAAGGAGAAATTGGAGCTCGAGTCCTTCTCCTCGACGTACTGCATGGCACAGCGGCCCTCGATGCTGCCAATGGCAAAGCCGGCCGAGTCGTTGAAGCAGGTGACGACGCGCGTCTGCCACTTGAGCGGGCTCTGCAGCGTCTTGTAGAGCTTGGTGGGCTCCTTGAGGTTGATGACGTTGATGTAGCGGTCGGCCGTGCCGACGACGAGCAGGTTGTCCTTGACGTCCATGGTGTAGACGCGCTCCTGGCACTGCACGGCGGCCACGGGCTGCTGCTGCCGCAGGTCCCAGTACTTGATCGTCTTGTCCCACGAGCCCGTGACAATCATCTGCTGGCCGCCGTCAATCTCGAAAAACTTGACGGACCGAATCGGCTGGTCGTGCTGCGCGACAATGTCGTTCTTTCCCGACTCCAGGTCGCACAGGCGGGCCTGGTTGTCCGCGCCGGCCGACACGACGCGCTTGCCGTCCTTGGCAAAGTGACAGCTGAACACGGGCGCGTTGTGCTCGTACATGAGGCGGCCCTCGGACGCGCCGGTGCTGGTGTTGACCTCGTAGATGCGGACCTTCTTGTCCCAGGAGGCCACGCTCATAAAGTCCTTTGGGTCGTTTGTGTTGGGGTTGAAGGACAGGTCCGAGATGCTGTCCTCGGGCGGGTTGGGGACCGCAACATCGCCCTTGAGGTCGCCGACCGTGGCGTTGGCCGGCGGCGTCGTCGCGGAACCAAAGAGAGACATGATGGCGGTGTAGACGTAAAAAAGGCAGAAGTGTCGTGTGACGCGTGGATGTCGTGGAAAGAGAGGGTCGTCGCCAGATCCCTCTTGTCGGCCAGAGACGAGGTTGTCGTGCAGGATCCCTCGGGGGGCGAACCTCTGCGTAGGTTGGTCCTGAGGCAAAACAACCGGGAGCTGGTAAGGTAGCCCGGAGAGGTCCGGCTCGTCGTCGGTGAAAAGAATCGCGAGGGGAAGAGGACGATAGGACGATTGTGGATGGTGGAAAGAGGCGAAACAAGCAAAGAGTTGAGAACGCAAGAGCCTTGTGGTGCGTTGCGTGCCTTCCGTCTGTCTCTCTCACAGCGTTTGTGTCGCACCTGTGCTTTTCCACCCAATTTTTTTTAGCGCGTCAAGGCTGCTTGCACAGGCGGTGGCTGGGCGGAAAGGCGCAATAAGCTTGAGCTTCAGCGGTGGCACGTTACTGCTTTTGTACCTCGCAGGTTTGACCACAAGACGCGACGATTGCAAACACCATATGCGCAGTGGCGTGTCAGGCAAACATGCAACTTGGAAATAGCAAGAATCGACCAATATAATTGTCGGAAAGCCGAAGCTCTTCTCTGCCTACAAACCCGCCGTTATTGCCTTGGGTCGACTTGGTGCCTGGCAGGCTCAATCGACTAGCTGCGAGTATTACATAATACACCGGACGCACTTCCGTGCTCACCGCCTTTCCGGCAGAATATGTCTCCACACAAAATTTTGCTAGAAAGCACATTTTCGAACATTTTGTTTTTGGCTTCCCTCTTTCCTCTTCTTCTCTTTTCTGCTCAAGTCTCCTCGTCCGACCAAATCGCCGTCGAAGCATCAACGGAGACGGGCGGGCTCGTCTCGCTCGTCTCGACCATACTTTGGCTTTGGGAGAAAGTCCCCGGACAGTCTCTTTTTTCGAAAGAAGAAAAAGCGCTGCAGAAATGCGCCGCCGTAACGACACCTGCGGCTGATCTCTGCCCAGACGAGGCTCTCACTTATTCTCGTTTTGCTTCCCACACCCTTTTTCTCTTGGTTTTCTTCCTGCGACTCTTCTTCTTCCCGTTCCAGCCCTTCTTTTCCTGAGTCTGTTCCGCCGACTGGGGAGCCTTCCTCATCCATTCCAAACCCTTCTGTCGTTTCCTCTTCATCTGCCCTTGCCACCCCGTTCGGCTTCCCATTTTGCCTTGGACTGGATTCCCCCTTTCTACCTGTTGTCTTGTCCCAAACTCGTTTTCTTTCTTGTTTTGTGTTTTTCGACTTTTCATTTCCCGTCAAGTCTCTTCTGGTGCGGGTTGTGTTGTATTCCGATTCTCGTTTCGGGTCTTCGAGGGAGTTGTCTTGGTGAACACCGTTCTTCTTCTCCTTGTCTGCTTTCTGTTTTTGGGCGGCTGCTGCCCTCTTTTATTTTCGCTTGGCCACATGAAGGGCGGCCAGAGATGGTACGCGATCAAGGCATTGCTTCGGGCGTCTTGGTGCTGTCGCTTTCGTCTACTTGGCTCTTGGTATTTCTGTGACTTTTCGGCTTTTGCTCTATGCAGTGGATGGCACCACCTATGGACGAAGATATGAGTCCGCTGTCATTCTGCTGTGTGGACAGGACCGGAGGGTAGCAGTTATACCGGGCCTTGTGGGTGGGATGTCGGTATCCAGTCCGTTTTGCAATGCTGGCGTCCGTGCCGGAGGTCTCCTGGATTGGCCTTTGTTGAAAGGAGGAGGTACCAGCGGCTCTCAAGGCGAAGAGTGGGTGAGGCAAAGTGGCGGTTACTAAGCTTGGCGGCGTTAGTATCTCGAACGACTCAGAGGGGTTTAGGGCGTCACGGCTCGTGTTGTTGAGATGGGATCTTGGAAGCCGATGATCTTTAACGAAGAAAGCGGGGAGATCTCAAAAGAAAAGGGGAAGTACAACCCTCTGTTGGAAATGGAGGCTGGGGAGACGAGGCGGTTGAAAAGGAGGTAGGAGGGGGTTGAGGCCGGGCAATGATCCTGTGGCGGAGCAGGAGAGGGACGAGATGGGTGGGTTGAAGAGGATGAGGGGATACCGTTTTGCAGAGAAAGGATGGGCGGCGGAGGGGACGAGGGTCTCGGGCGGGGAGTGTTTCGTCCATTTTTATAGGCATGCGATTGCTCGCCAGATGCAGAAATGCCCCTCTGGCGAGTTACTCGATGGGGCTTATTCTCGGAGCGGGGAGGCTTCACACTTTCTATCGACCTCTTCTGTCACTTGCCTGTTCTCTTGTTACTTGAACTAGAAAACAGGATGCGAGGCTGGTGACGATGGAGATCGCTGGCCGCCGACACATGAGACAAGCAGATGGAGGAAGCGAGACGCCAGACACTCTTCAGGAGTTGCTTTTTTTGTCGTTGAGAAAAGCTCCACCGACTTGTCTTTTGCTTTCCTCGACTTTTTTTGTCTTGGGTGTCAGCGTGCCTTGAGGACTTTGTTCTTCTGGGACCGTCTGGGGGTTGTTTCACGTGAGGGCTCTGTTATCTTTGGGGGTTGCTATCGACGGAAGTTCAACATGATGATTCATACATAGAGTCAAGCCCTGATCTGGATAAATCCAGTGTGATGACTCAACGTACATGCGTTATGGTTTCTGAATGAACTTTCAGGCCGCGTCTTTGTCAAGTGGCGACGCGCTTTGTTTCCTGTTCTTGCCCCGACGCTCAAGATCGTCAAGATTGGTGAAAATAATAATCATATAATGAAATAATGCAATAGTATACTATCCTATTTGTCCAACCTGTCTTGATATGTGACTGATATCTTCAAGCAACCGTACTTGCAAACGCCGATATAAACGCCGTTGCTATAAACCACCCAAAAAATATTCTAAACCAAAGTGATATGAAAAGGACACAACCGACGAATTACAGACCATCCCCCTCAACTCACATTAACCCACTCAGGACAACTTTGCCCACATTGGCGACCTCCATCTTGACGCCCCCGCGGCTGTGGTCCTCGAACTCCTTGACCACGTTCTGCACCAGCAGCTTGCGAACACGCGCGTCCGCCTTGCTGAACAGCTCCAAGACGAGCGGTGTGCAGTCGCGGGGCGACACCATGAGACTCAGGATACGCTGGTAGCTGTCAATGAGGACGTCGCAGAGCGTGGAAAAGGTCTCGAAAAAGTCTGGGTCAAAGGGCAGGCTAGGCGTGAGCAAAAATGTGTACTCCTCGCCAGGCAGCAGGTCGGTGTTGTTGTCGTAGTAGGTGGCAAACGCGGTCGAGGTGACGTAGCCGGTCATGGACGAGGTGCCGATGCCGCCGCTCAGGCCACCCAGCCCGCCGACGTTGGAATTGCTCAGCGCAGCGGCGCCGCTCGGCAGCGGCGGCACGCCGCCGTTCCCGCCGTTGGCGCCGGCATGGACACTGCCGGCGCTCTCGCTGTTGACGAGGGTCAGGGCGCTGCCGCCAAGGCTGTCGGCCAACCCCGAATTGCTGCCGCCGCCCGACGACGAGGGAGGCACCATGTTGGCGGCCCCCGATGCGCCGCTGCTGGCACCAGCCGTCGACATGCTGCCGTCAAAACTGCTCCCAAAATCGTTGGACCCCGACGCCGCGCTGCTGCTCGTGCGCCGTACCTTGGACCCAGGCGTGCGCCGGAACATGTTGGGCAGGCGTGCGGCCCGGGACAGCGAGCCGCTGCCGCTGCCCGAGCCGGTTTCAGAGTGCAGCTGCTGGAACGACTCGAACTCGGTCATCAGGGCCCCCAGGCTTCGGAGCAGCTCAATGACGTTGGCCGAGTTGAGGTCGACGACGGCAGGCACCGACAGGCCGAGCAGCAAGTAGTTGGTGGCGCGGCGGGTGAGGCGGCGGGTGTCAAAGTAGGACATGCGGTTGATGTCGGGGCGGTCGAAACGCAGCGTGTTGAACCAGTAGACACGACCCTCGTATCTATCAAGAGTTAGGCACTGTACACAGGCAGGGGGGAGGGAAGTAGGGGGGGAAAAGGGGGACGCACGCCTTCCGTAGATAGTCCAATGTGGAAATGCGCTTGTTAACCATCTCCTGGATGTGATGGTACAGCACTGCGCCCTCAGAGGACGCGCCGACGACGGCCGAGTTCGGACTGGAGCCCGTCGGAACGGAGAGACCCAGTCCGGTGGTGGCGGGCGTTGAGAGGACCCCGCTGAGCATTTTGCTTGGGACCGAGGCAGATGGATGAGAAAAATTGTGCGTAAAATACGAGGCTGTGACCGGGCTGGTCGGCACAATCGTGCTAGCAGTCGTCGAGGAGGACAAAGTGCCGGTCGTCAATGTGGACCAGGTCTTGACGGGCGACGCGTTTGGACTGTTCGACAGAACGACGTGGATGTTGGGCGACGCAGAGATGCGCTCTGTGGCCGATGCGGTGGCTGAGGCCCAGTCGGACGGTAGAGGCGGCGGCCAGGTGTCTGCGGTGTTGGTGCTGACGATGTAGCTGACGCCTTCAGCGTTTCCCACGTTTCCCTTTTTCGGACTGTCGTTGCTGCTGCCAAAAGCAATGCTGCTGGCGCTCTTGTGGCGCTGGTGGTGGAACAGGGAGCCGATGCCGGAGCTTCTGGTGCCGTTGGTAGTGGATGTGGCAGCGGACGTGGATGCGGACGTGGACGTAGAGTTGGTCGACGTCAAGGTCGAGCCGCGGCTGCGTGTGAACGAGGCCTTTTTGCTCAGGGATGGCCGGCGCTCCTTGGTCAGGACGTTGGGCTTGTGGCGCTCGCTGCTGCTGATTCCGCTGCCGATCGATACAGGTGGTACAAAGGGAACGGCCGGGGGTGGTGGTGGGGGAATTGAGGGCGGTTCCCGTTGAGGTACAAAGGATGAGGCGGAAGCGGAGGAAAAGGGGGAGAACGAAGATGGCGGTTGGACGGTGCGGAAGGCTTCGCCGGCACTGGTCGTCGGCCGTGGTCGGGGCTGTGCAGAGGAGGATGCGTACGTATAAGCGGCGGTGGAGTTGGCGGGCGGTGGTGTGTTGGACGGCACGCTGTCCGTGTACGTCGTGTATGTGGTCGTGGTTGAGTCCGTGGTTGACGTCGTGTTGAAGACGGTTGAGAATAGGGGACCCGCATTTTGGCTCGCCAGGGTCGTGCCTGCCGTCTCGCGACTGGCTGCAGCGGAAGCCATGCTGTATTACTGGATCCCTTTCTCTGTCCAGTCCCTCCTCCCTTTTTTGGTGCAGTTTAGCTCCTTCCCTTCTTAGCAACCCCTTGCCTCCAGCCTTTTCGTGTTGCTTATTCGCTTCGTCTTCTCCCGCTGTGTTTGTCTGTCTGGATTCCGAGATCTTTGTGTTTTTCTTTTTGTTGTGCAATCGCCAGTGAATACTACCGGGAAGGGATTTTTGCTGATTTTGGCGACCTCGTTACGCGACGCAAGCTGCCCGAGTGTCCAGAATTGTGCGAGCAGCCACACACCAAGCGCATCTTGTTTTGGCAGGCGCGACCGTAGTGACCACAGTGATCGCGAGGTACGAGAGTACAGGCAAGTTGCAGCTCGCTACTGAGAAGAGTGAAACGCGGCACACGGCTGGAGATTGAGGGCTAATTGGCAATGCAAAACAGTGTTGGAACTGGTGGTTGCTTGGAAAGGCGTTCGGAAAACGGCGAGATCATCCAGGTTGTCCAGGCTGGCGTCGATCGCGAGTGGAAAGACACTGATGGCAGCAAAGCGGCGAAGAAACGAAAGAGAAAAGAGATAATAGAAAAGACAACGTATATGATAAACAAGAGAAAGTTTGGCATTCGTCGCGACGGCGGCTCAAAAATGAAAGGCTAAACGAAAAGAAGCAACGGGAAGAGAAGCAGGCAAAACACAAAAGGTAGGTCAGAAGAGGACGAGAAAGAGAGAGAGCATTCGACTGACGCAAGTGAAAAAAAGTGCTCTAACGGGTATATAAGCCAAGCTCTGTTTGCTCACCCGAGAAAGCAAGCATACTCCTTGGCGCGTGGCTTGTCGAAGAGTGAGTGAGAGAATAAACACAGTCCGGCTCGGACACGGATACTATGTAGCAAAGTCTTGTCATAACAGTGACTTTGTTCCGCGGGTGCAGGATGGTGTTCCCAGCTAGTCGCTACCAAAAACCAAAGAGACGGACAGTGGGCTCGACTCTGGTTGCATGCCATATGGAAAATAATCGGGCGTGATGTTCAACGAGATGGGAGCGGCAAGTCGATAGGATGAAAAGGCTGCGTCCTTCATTGGCACGGATATTTTTCTCAAATCCAAGGGATACGATACGAGCAGACTCAATTGTCGTGCGGGCAGAGTTTTGACCTTGCCAAGAGCACGGAACAAGAGTTTAAACAAGAGCTGACCCAGGAGGAGTTGAGTCTTCGAGTAGGAACAAGGATCACCGGTATCCTACATACTACTGCACATTCACCGTTACATCAGTGCCGGAAAATGTAGATGGGTGGCTCTGGCGGACAGGGAAGGGGTCCAGACGAGGACGTAACAGGTGCCGTCGATCATTTTGTATCAAGCCCGAGAAGTGAAGACAATTCACACCGATGGGAGGAGAGACCAAGGACCCAGGGCAACACTTTAACAGAAGACATACAGTCTAAGGAGAATCCAAAACTCAGTAGGAAGCTCACAGACAGATACAACGACACGCAAGGCGTGCTTCAATCACTTTACGCTAGAGTGGCAGTTGCAACCCTGTTTTTGACACTCGATCACACCCCGTGCTCGTGCGTTGTGTCTTTCCTGTCGTCCTCAGGTCAAAGCGACGAAAATGGCAACGGCAACATCGAACGTGGACGGTCAAGACGGGGAAGGGAGGGGCTTTGCCAGATAAGGCTTTGCAGCGTCTCATCATGTCTCAATCACAGCAACCAGTCGTATCTTTGTAGGAAAGACGTTGTGACAAAGAGGCACAGTCAAATTTGATTACAAGAGTTGTAAGGTACATAGGCAAGGGAATAGACAAGAATGGAAAAAAGGACCATTGCCATTTTCTCCGTCTTCCTTGCCTGCCATTTTGGAAACCGTCCCGAAACGAAACAAACTAAAATCAGGTCATAAGAAGGACTTGTGCAAGGATGAAGAAAAAGAAAAAAAAAAGACGAGAAGAGAGAAGTCGGCTCGCTTGCCGAGAATGAGAAAATGAAAACCAAAGAAATAAAAGAAACATAAAAAGGCCTAAGAGCAATCATAATCCGTTTCATAAAAAATTTGGCGACATTTTTTACGCCGCCTTGGGCACCGCGGGCGAACCGGACAGGTCGTCCAAAAGGCCCTTCCACAGATCCCGTATCATACCACCTGATGCCTCGCTGTCAGAACTGCTGCTGCCGCCACTCGCCTCGGCACCGAGGTGGGCAAACTTGAGCTCCACACCGTCGACGCCCATGCCCTCAATCTCCGTCAGCGCCGACGCCGCCACCACATTCTCGGGATGGGCTGCCACCACCACAATCTCGGGCTGCGCCAGCGGGCCATCAGCCACCTCGGGAGCATGGCCATTGAGGGCCGTGCGGTCGGGCGAATAGTTGTCCGGCAGCAGAGGCACGCGCAGCGCCATGCGGCTGGCGGCAGCAGCGGCCTCGCGCTCGGCCTCGGCGCCCAGCGAGGGCATGACGGCGTAGTCAATGGTGCTGACGTCGAGACGGGCGTCGCGCGGGGTGGTGGTGCGGAAGTTGAAGGTCTGCATCAGGGGCACAACACGGTTGCGCGAGGGCATAGGGCTGGGTGTCGGGCGGTGGGTCATGGTGAAGTGACGGCTGTTCTGGAGGGTGGGTCACCGTGTTAGTCCAAAATGAATTCCAACACGCATTGTGGTAGCCAAAAGTCGGTTTGCAGGGAAACTCGTCCAGCTCGTGGGTTCACTCCTTCAAGCAATCCAGTAACATACATCGTCCCGTTCAACGGGCTCAGAGCGACTAGCACCGGTGCTGGCATTGGTCTGGTGACTGGACGTGGCGGCAATGTAGGCCGGTCTGGCCACGGACGGATGGGAGCCCAGAGACCGGGTGAGCTTGCTGATTGGTGCTGTCACGCGAGTCATGTTGAATAAGTGGAAGAAATAGGCGAAGGGAGGTTGAGAGAAAGAATCGATCCACAGAGAGTATGTCAGAATAGGGGATATGAAGATTGTAGACGAAAAGTCGAGACGCTGGATGCTGGCGGTCAATGAAGAAGCAAGGTGTAGGACGCGGCCGGAAGTCCGTTACGTAGGAGATGTAGTGCTCTCGGGAGATGGAAGTGAGTAGACGTAGGAGACCGTAAAGCGAGTCGTGCGAAAAGTCGAGATAGAAAAATGGCAGAACGTTTGGGAAATAAGACGATGAGGGACGCGCAGGAAAGAGGGGGACGAACAGCACACTTTATGGGTGTGCCATCAGGAAGGCGCAGCGGAGCGGAATTGGGGGGATGACCATTCTGGGTGGTGATATGATTAGCTCAGATCTGGGCTGCTGGCTGGGAAAGAGCTATGGATTCTTTTGCGGAGAACGACAGTCTCCGTGTAGTCCTCCAGCCCACCTTCCACCTTCCAGATTACCATTTCCCAACCAATAGCCGGGACCCACTGGTGCTCTTCCACCAGCACAGGGGTTGGGAAGCCACGAACGAGTCCTACGGTGATGTCTTGCCTTTGTTCTGTCACTGGGGCGGCTTCCTCCGTTGGCGACGACTAAGACCACCGTTGCGGTTTTCTTTGAGATTTTATGATCGCCCATTTCCCCCGTGCATCACCACTTTGCTCATTACGGCCACATCGAGCGCACAGCTGCAGAGTACTGAGTAGCTTCAGAGCTTCGACAGGTGCGTGTCTCTTTTCCACCTGCGGCGGCAGTTGCCCCTGTTCCTTTCTTTGTGACCTGCTTTTTTCTTCTTTGTTGTGTCGTCCTTTGATTCGAAAATGGCGGTGAACAGTTGTTACAGTTGCTGCAGCTCAATACGTCGCAGTGTGACAGGCGACAATGCCGAGACGCGTACCTGAAAATGCTGCAGAACCAACAGAGAGTGAGTGACAGCGGCCAATCGCACACCCCGCAATTACCTGTCTGCTGTCTCTTCTACCTTTTGCTTCGAACATACTCGGTACGTTTTCTCTGCCTCCTTTTCTGCCCCTTGGTGTCTCTCTCAACAAACCTCGACCAAAACAGTGGTCGCTGGTCCGCCCTGTCCGGCACACCTTGACTCGCTTGACTCTTGGGATCCTTGGATCCATGGGATCTCTTCGGTCCAGCCCACAATTTTGGGCAACGATGTGCAGCCCCCTGGAATGAGTCCGCTTCGTGCTGAGAGAGGCCCAAGCTTTCGCGGTGCACAGTTACGGAAACTATTCCTCTTTTGTGTCCGTCCATCTAGAACATCGACGTGCCTGTTGTCACCGCCCCAACAGAAATAGCAAGATTAGCAACCGGGCAGGATCAACTGGTGGGTGAGCATGGGTTCCAATCTGCAAGCTAGCCATTTCCATACCACGAACGCCAGCTTGCCTTGGATCTTTGTAGGATGCAGCTACCAGCGACACCGGCGACCGGCCCAGCATCCGGGACCTTGTCGGTGTGAGTGGAAAATTAAACATTTCTACGATGTACTCTGTTGTAGACCCGGCAGTCCCAACCGCAGTGGTCTTTCGTAAGATAAGTTTCCTAAATATAGCGAGTAATTAATCTAGTACTCGGCGGCCGATGTCCGGGTTATCAACCAAACTGCCAAGCTAGCTTTAAAGTGCTGATAAACAAAGAAACAGCGTGTGCGCCGAATGTCCGTCGATAAGATCAAACAGTGCATGGCGATGCCTGATTGTGTCCTACATGTGCAGTACGAAACGATGCAGCAGCCTCTCTCCATATGGACTGCAAAGGTTACAGCGGTCGCATATGTTGTACTTTCAGCATGATGAGCTGGCCCTATTGCACGGGTTTTATTTGGCGAATGGAGTAAGGGGTAACTCACCGCCAAATGCACATCTCGTCACATTTCTTATCGCCTATGTCAGATATTTGGGCCTTCCGAGGTATCACTTGTATCCAGCCCCATTCCGAGAATGGAGACACAGCAGGTTCAGGAGAAGTGAAGATGGTATTTCATGTATCCTTTCTGTCCACTATATGGACATCTATAGAACGACTAAAAATGCACCCCGTATTCTGTAGAGTCTATATCCCCACGTCTATTGAAAGATGGCTTGACAAGATTCGCTCGGTTCTCGCTGTTGTAGTTGTCCGGGGAAGAGGGAATTCAACAGGAAAGGAAAATAGACAACAGCACCTCTTGCTGGCTCGTCTCGTCTGTAATTCATTGTCTTATATTCATCCCCTTCGGTTGGTGTGATGAGTGTGGGTATAGTGGAAAGTGGCCCGATGAGGGGTGAACAGAAAATGAATGGAAAAAGACAAAATACAAACGAAGAAAACAGTGTGTCCCGTATGCGCCCCAAAAACTCCGTTCCAGAAATACCAAACCCATTTTGCCACTCGTAAACGAGAAAAGGAGAAGAGAGAAAAAATAACTTTTTGTAAACCCCTTTGAACCGTTTTGTATCCCATAGATTCAATTGCTCCAAAATATGCCGCAGAGGAAGAGGACGTAAAAATGCAACGCTCGTGAAAGAAACGGAAGCCAATGCTGTACGAGAAAGGGAAAAAATGTGTCGCTGAAAGATGGTCGGTTCGTGAGAGACGTGAGAGGAACAGAAAAAGGCAATAAGAAAGTCATGGGTGCGGCAAGGCTTATGCTTATTGAGCCATCTTCATCGGCTCGCCTTGGCCGGCACCCACCGTAAACGGGTTGCCAGCCGCGGCGACGGCCGCGGCCGTCGCCGACGACATCAGCCGCTCCCGTTCCTTTTCCTCGGCAAACACGCGCCGGCTCATGGCCAGCACGGCCTCGAAGCCCTCGCGGCCCTTGACGGCGTTGTCGTGGAACCGCGACACCAGGCTGTCCTCAATCGCATTGCGGATCCGCTGCCAGCCGCCGCACAGCGCCGTGATCTTGGCGTCCTGCACAAACTTGGTCTGGTTGGCCGCCGCCTCCGAGGGCTGGTAGACGACCGTCTCTTGCACGCTCAGCAGGTTGGACCAGGTCAGGTTCTGGCTGACCATGATGACGGAGCGGGCGTTGGGATCGACATAGGACGTCTCAAAGACCTGGCTCTCGCCGTTGTTGCAGATGGCGCTGCCAAACACCGTCTTCAGCCAGTCGGGCACGCTCTGCTTGCATGTGATGAGGCGCTCGGTGCGGAGGATGCCGGTGGCCGGGTCGACGGTGCGCGAGAGGGTGTCGACAGCAATGACGTGTGTGGACTTTTCGTTCCATGGGCAGTACTTGCGCCAGTTGGCCGTTGAGACTTCCTCCCAGGAGTAGTCGAACGTGCAGGTGTTGGAGAAGACCTTCATGATGGCGGTTGTGAGAGATGGTGAGAGCTGGTGAGAGAAGCGGAAGAAGGCCGCGGACGCTTGGATGAGAACACGGGCGAGATGATTTTCCGCGAAGGCGACGCCTGTCTTGAGAGGGAGAGGGAGAGGAGGAGAGGAGGAGGAGGAGGAGGAGGTGAGGTAGTGGGGGACTTTTGTCGAGAGCGGTCAGTCACAGGAAGTCGGTGGAGTGGAGCGATATCTGAGTGTCGTTTTCCTTCGTAGTCAAATTGCGCTGAAGCAGTTGTCCGGTGAGGGCGACTGGCTACTTTAGAGAAAGCGAGTGTAGATTCGAGAGAGAAACGGTGTCTCTTGTCGACGTATCGTAGGGTATTGAGATGAAGGAGTGAAGGTACAAATTCAAAATCGAAAGCAGAAAGCTCATGCTGGAAGTTGGCAGTCGGGTGGAAAAGGATGTGCGCGTCTTTTATTGTAACGGGCAGGAACAACCAAGGCTCGATCCCGTACTACTGGGGGCGGGCACCACAAAATTTTCGGCATGACTCCCCTCAGTTCCCCTAAAAATTTCTACCTGCCTCTCTATTTCCAATTTTTAGCAGGGCCCGCCCTCCCCGAGTTGCCCTCATCGAAGGTACGCGAAATCTTATCGGAAAGGGCACTGGACGTGGCGAGAAAACCAGGCCTCTTATTGGCTGGCCATGGTCTAGGTATGGCCAGATATGGACTAGCGCGAAAACACATGAAAAAACTTCGGAATGCACGCGGGGGGTAGGAGGGACGCAAACGAGAGTCTGGGCGGTTTAGGTGATGTCTTAGCGTGTCTAAGGTGTCTGTATCCAGTCTCCCGAATACCTGAACGGAGAGGCCGTTCGCGCCCCTTCCACAACGCCGAATGCCGACTGCTAGAGACTGACACCACACTGACATAGTGACGAAAGCAGCACGGTCAAGCCTGCATTTATTTCTTTCGCACACATTTGGAGACTTTGTTGCATGCCAGTTACGCCGTACAATATGCTGTCGATTCGACAGGAGGAAACATGCCCCAAAACCACTAAATTCCAAACCGCCTCAGGCTGACATTCAACGGGGAACACGTCTGGTACTTGGCGGCAGCTGCGACCAGGAATGCACCATTGCCGCGTCTGGATACATTTGTGCCTATCACAAGACCTACAGAGTTATGTCGTAATTGCTCTGGAGACTTTTCTGGAACCGTGTTGGAGCTCGCCTTGACAAGTCCCATAATAACTGTATGATGACATAATTCAAAAATATCACATTGGTTTCTTCTCGAAACTGGGTACTTCTGGCATTTGACAGTCAACCTTTTTTTCTTGTGTTTTCTTGTATTTTCTTGTATTTCTTGCTGCGATCCTTCTTGTCCTGACTAATATATGCGGGTTGGCAAAAGTAATGGTAAAAGGATGCTTTGCTGCGTGCCTCCATTTCCAGAAGACAAACAGCAAAGGGCAAACACGAGGGCGGCAGCTGACCTGTGCCTGGCATGCGCGATGGCGGACACCAGCGGGCCCGCGGTATCCGTAATCTCCGTAGCTGCAGGACCACAGAGATTCAAATGCTCGCCCCGGTTGCCGAGTGGAAGATAAACGGTAGGACGTAATTCAACGAAACTAAACAAACGCAAGGCGTCAGGGTCCCACATCACACAAGCTGGTTTCGCAGCTGCCGGGACATCTCCTTCGTTTAGTAGTCATCGCCGCGGCTGATGACCTCCTTCACATTGTGACGGAGAAGAATGGTCTGGGTTGTTAGAAAGTGGTCGGGCTGGCAAGAGACAGTCGTGAAACGAATCTCCAGGAGAACTTACATGCTCGAACTGGGCAGTGTACGAGCCCTTCTTGTCAACCAGGGGCGGGTAGGCCTCGACCACGCCGTTGCTGACGAGGTTGTTCAACTGATGGGAGTTAGTATTTTGTTGGACCCGATTTGGATCCCCAACGATGCAAAATGGCCTTGTCCACTCACCCCCAGCAGGTACTTGTCGTGACCCAGGCGGTCAATGTACCGGCGACAGAACGGCAGGGTGCCAAAGTTTTTGTTGATGACGTTGAGCACCGTCTTGGCCGACTGGATGCGCAGCGGCACGTTGGGCGCGTCCGACCGCTTGGCGTAGTGCGACACCTCGCCCTCGTCGCGCACGTAGCCGTTGCCCGTGCTGCCAAATGTTTCAATGGCATACACCTCGCCCTCTTCCATTTTCGTCGTGTCATTCGTCTTGACAATCGGCACGCTCTTGGTGCCGTGGATGCTGTAGTGCTCAATCGTGTGCCCGTTGAGGTTGCGGATCGACTTGATCGGGTACGTGGTGCCGTCGAGCTCAATTTCGTACGACTCCATCGTCTCCTGGATGGCCGCGCCAATCTCGCCCAGGCGCACGTCGATGCCCGCCTCGCGCACGCCCGTGTTGGTCGCCTCGCGCACCGCCTCCAGCAGGTTGTCGTACTTGGGGTCAAAGGCCATCGTGAACGCGCTGTCCACAATGTAGCCGTTGACGTGCACGCCAATGTCCACCTTCATGACATTGCTCTGCTGCAGGATCGTTTTGTTGCCCGCGTTGGGCGAGTAGTGCGCCGCAATGTGGTCCAGGTTCAGCCCCGTCGGGAAACCCATGCCGGCCACCATCGCGTCGCCCTCCTCCAGGCCCTGGTGGCCCACCAGGGCGCGCACGCTGTCCTCGATGCCGTTGGCAATCTCCGTAAGAGACTGCCCCGGCTTGATGTTCTTCTGCGCCCACTGCCGCACCTGTCGGTGCGTTTCGGCCGCGTGACGGTAGTCCTTGAGGTAGTCCGACCGCAGGCTGTCCAGGTGGCGCTTCTCCTCGTCGGTCGTGCGGTAGGCGTTGTCGTTGACGTACGGCACCTCCTCACCCTTGGGGTAGGCGCCCGAGGGGAAGAGCGTCGACATGAGGACCCGCGGCGGGTCCGACTGCTTGGTCGGCTTGGCCGACTTCTTCTTCTTCTTCTTGTTCTTCTTCTTCTTCTTGGCGGCCGCAGCGGCGCCCTCCCCGCCGGCGCCCTCTCCGCCGGCACCCCCATTCACACCTGTGGCTTCGTCGGCCTCGTCCTCGGATCCCTCGCTGTCATCGGCCGCGTCGCCGTTGGTGGATTTACCTATAGCCGCGGTGGCTTTGGTGGAACCACCTTCCGCTGTAGAGATTGTCAGCATACAGTCGACAGGGACGGGCATGGACATGGAACCATCCACGTACCAGCGGGCTCACCGGTGGGTGGGGCTTGAGCAGCCATTGTGATTTTGATATTGATTTTGGTGTTGGCTTTTGTTATTTTCGTGCCGTTTGGGAAAAAAAAAATAGGTGCTCGCTCGTTCAGTACAGTAAAATTATGTCGAAGCAGCCCACTAGTAGCGTCGGTGTGCTCTCTCTCGATATGAATATGGTGTTCCCGTCAAGGGTGTGCCTGCAACTTATACGCAGTGCCGGCTTGGGAATGTCGTCTGCTGGTTTCGTTCATCAAACAAAAAAAAAGTTTTAGGTAGAACGACATGGCCTTGTCAAAAGTAAGGCGTGGGGCTGCCCGAATAGGAAACCGGCCCAACCAAAGAGGGCGCGGGGCACGAGACAGTGCTGCAAGGCACTATGACATAGCACCTACGGAGTAGAAGTACGGCGCCACAGCACCCAGCCACAGTATGTCAATGGCGGCCGACACCGCTGAGATGTCGTAGTCATAATTACCCGTTACAGATCGCCTAAAGCGGGAAAGAGCGCTAATGCCAGCGGCGAATGTCAACGCGGGTCATTCCAAAAAGCCCGCGCAATACAACCACTTTGATCGCGTCTTATACAATTTCTCTTTCGCCTCTCGTGATCGCATTCAGAGACTCTATTGCCTGTCAACTCTTCTGTGCCCCTCCTGAAACCGCCTTGAAATTGCACAGCTCCAACCCGCCGCTGAGGAATGAACCCTCGTTCGCTGCCACAATGTCTCTCTTCCGCTGCTTTCGTATCGCCAATCCGTGTCTATCCTCACAGCCTTGTCGCTTATAGCAGCCGGCCGGCATGCCACTGCTCCTCCAGGACGCTTCGTTCGACGCCTGCAGCGCGCCCGTTCCACAGCAGTCGACACCTTCTCCAAGATGCGATGGCAGGCAGCCAGAACCACTATGAGACGCTGAATGTGCCGTTTAGCGCAAACGCGTCCGACATCAAGAAGTACGTGTCCGATCCTGCCAGTACCAGGCGTCCTCATGCCCTGTTGCTCTAACAGACAAGGTCCTTCTACAAGCTCTCCAAAGCCCACCATCCCGACCACAACCCCCAAGACCCCCATGCGCCCCGCCGCTTCATGCGCATCTCCGAAGCCTATGCCGTCCTCAGCCACGCCGAAAAGCGCGCCGCCTACGACCGCGAGGTGATGCGCCAACACAGCCACCATCATCTCCGCGGCCAGCACCGGCCCAACGCTTCGTACTACTCGACAGGCCCCGCCGGCGGCCGTCCGGCCTCGGGCCTCAGCCGCCGGCGAAGCGCCTTTCGGGGCCCACCGCCCAGCTTCTACCGCAACACAGGGAGCGGCCAGAACACGGCTCACAATGCAGCAGGACACGCTTCACAGTCGTCACGAACGGGCGGCTCGACGGCCAACGCCGGTCAGGACTACGGCCCCACCGGTTTTAGCCCGGGCAACGTCAACGCCGACGATGCCGGCACGCGCAGCAACCCCTCGACGCCGCATTTCGACTGGGACAAGACGGAGCGGACGCACCGCAACATGAGCGAGCGCGTCGCCGAACGGCGGGCCGCGGCGGCCCATTCGGCTGCCTACCAGGACGAGACGAGCATGGTGGTGGGCTTCTTAATCATGACAGCGGCGCTGGCCGCCGGGATTCTTGTGCCAGTAATATTGTTCAACGATTGGCGACAAGAGAAGAAGACGCCACCAGCAAAGCCAAAGACATAGAACGACGGACGGTTTGTACAACAGCTGGACGGCTGGGGCAACATGCCTGTTCTCCCCTTCCCGGAATCCAGACCGTTGTGAGATGTGACGATAGGAATCGTTTCGTCGTCTCTTCCTTGTCAATTTATATAAAACAGAAGCCTGTCTTGTCCAGGATATGAGGTATGAACGTATATACAACCGAATCAAACTGCATACGACCAAATGCAATCGCATACAAGCACGAAAATGAGGTAAAGTGTGATTTTAAAGGGACAGACAGGATATCAAGAACAGTCACAGGGCTGCCCCGGGAAAGCATAAAGAAGCGGCAAACACAGTCATCGCATTGTTGTCAACCCGTAGGAGACTGAAATTTAAGAAACGGATATATAAATCATCCAATGGGGATGTACGAGATGGGAAAAGATTTTATTGAATTGAAAAAAGTGCTTTTTTGGGCCCCTTGCCGGGCAAGAGAAGTTTCCTTGCGGGCTTTTCTTTCGTCTTTGGTCGAGCGAGACGCTTAAGCCTCAAAGGTGAAGCTGGTGCCGACCTTGTGGGTGGCCTGGTCGAGCTTCTGGGTGTCGAACGAGGCGCCAATGCCGAAGGTGACGCCCTCGCGGAGCAGGACGTTGTAGGCAACGGCAGCGACACCGCGGTCGTTGATCTTGGCCTTGACGAACGACAGGGGGTCGAGGCGGTACTTGGTGGCGACCTCGAGGCCGACGGCATTGCCGCTCTTGGAGTTCCAGATGGCCTTGGCGGCGGCCTCGACCTGGCTGTTGACCTTGTGGTGGTAGCTGGCGGCGAAGATGCTCAGGTTGTCGCTGGCCGTGACAGCGGCAGAGTACGTGGGGGCCTGGTAGCCGACGGCGGCGCTGTAGCTGGTCACGGCGGCCTTGTTGACGTCGTAGCCGGCCGAGGCACCAGCCAGGAAGCCGTCGTGGCCGATGACGGCATCGACGTTGGCGGTGGGGCCCTTGAGCAGGTCGAAGAAGGCGCGGCCGTGGAAGCTGCTCTGCTTGAAGTGCAGGTTGAACTTGGCACCGCGGGCCTGGGTGGCGGGCAGGAACGAGAAGACACCCTCGGCCTTGAGGCCCTTGGCCAGCGAGTCGGCAAGCTCGAGCTTGGACTCAAGGGCGTTGGCCGTGTTCCAGGTCTGGGTGACGGTCAGGCCTGTGCGACGGTAAAACATTAGCAGGGTCGAAACTTTCGGGGAGAGCGCAATCGCCGCCTCGACGGGCAGGCCACTTGTGGAACCGCCAATGCGAGACAGGACGACGCTGACATTTTGGAGGGACTTGGGAGATTTGTGGGATTTGGAGGAGGAGGGGGAGGAGGAGGAGGAAGGGTGGCGGTGAGAGGAAGCAGGAGTGAGAGAAGGAGAGGAGATGTCTGGAGAGGAGGAGTGAGAGGAAGAGGCTTCAGAAGCCGGCAACAACGGAAGCGACTTGGCTGTCCGTGTCCGGTCGGCAACATCCTTGCTGCCGGATGTGAAGGGGGGAGGTGATGAAGAAGGGTCCGGCGCTCCACGAGACGCATGTTCGTGGCTGCCACCATCTACAGATGCATTGTGGGATACATGGCGTTGGTGTCGTGACTTGTGGTGGTTGCTTTTGCTGGGTGCTGCCGTACCAAGAGATCTGTCGGTGTATTTGCCCTCGATCTGCAAGAGAAGATGATGTGGTTAGCGTCATGCAGCCCAAGACAAGTCAGGAGACTGAGATAAGTCCCAATGCGGGCACGCGGTACGAGAGGATCAGAGCATCAGAGGTGAGGACCGGAGAGGAAGTCAGGCAAGGCTGTACACGCATTGCCGGCCGAGGGCCACGCTTTGACAAACACACCGAACGCTAGCCAGTCGTGCAGTTGCAGTCGTAAGGCCGGCATGTTTGTCCCATGCGTCTCTCTCGCCTATCGCCATCCGACGATGTTCTTCGCGGAAAGGGCCTCTCCCGACGCATACCCTCTGTGACCTATGTCTATGCCTATGCCTATGGCTACCCCTCCCCCTCTCCCATGCCTCCTTGCCCCACCCCGGCTCATGTCTCCCGTAGCGTTTTGGGACGATGTGTTATTGTTGGGTTGGCGGGCAACGTGGAAACTTACGGTGCCGGTGGTGGTCTTCTCGTGGCTGTTCTTGCCGTTGACCTTGAAGGCGACGTTGTTGGGGGTGTTGCTCTTGACCTCGAGCGTGCCGGCGGACAGGTGGTAGAAGTCCTTGTTCAGCAGCTATAATTCAGAAGAACAGAAACGTCAGCAAGAGTCGCAAAATGCAATGCCACCCGAAGGCAGCATCGTCCGACATGGATCATGGTCAAATCCATGTCGGACGATGCTCTCGACATCCCACCCAAATCCAATCCAAAACGGCGGTGATTGGGCGGTCTGTCGTCGGCAATTGGGCGCTTCGTGGCCCCCGTCGTCCTCTCGGGCGAATGAGGACAGCAATCGGAGAGCAGGACTCACGTCGTTGGCCGGCTTGGCAATGTCAGAGAAGTTGGGGACCGACATCGTGACTGTAGGTTTAAGGGGCTGTGTTTGGGTGAAGAAAGAAAAGAGGGAAAGAAATCAAGAAACTCAAGATTGCGCTTGCTGTGTAGGAAAGAGAGAGAAAGGCAGGAGCAGGAGGGAGGGGGGGCCGTTTGCGACAATAAGAGAAGGAGCACCCCATACGAACGAATTAAAATAAATGCAAAGAAAAGTCCATAAATAAAATTACCTCCAACACTACCACCTGCCTGCGCCCGAAAAAGGTGGTGAGAGACACTTTGTTGGGGCCCTACCAGCCAACATGCATTTTCAGCAATTACGATACGTGCGGGTATGCGTCTGTGTGTGGCTGGCCCGCCCGTGGCGACGTATCGTTACGGATTCTTGTCCTATTGTCGTAGACGCCCAATGCCTCTTTCCCCTTTCTGTTTGTATTTTCACCGTCGCCGTCACCTTGTCACTTTCTCTCTCGCCCATCGCACCTTTCCGTCTTTGTCGTTCGTGTCTTACTTGTGCCTTTTGACGTTTTCTCTGTCTTCCTTCTTTTTTTTTTTTTTTGTAGCTTTTAGTGGGCTCTGTCCACAGGGTCCTCGGCTCAAACCGGACGCTGTTGCCAGGGCGCTCGACCGCCTGGTTGGCTGGCTGCAGGCGCCTTTGTTCGGGTGGAACAGAAAAGAAACGGTAAAGAAAGGGAACAGGGGACCGCATAATGGACAGGGAAAAGTGTTCGGGTTGGATGCGCTAGAAAACCCACGTGGGGCGCATGAATTAACTCACGGCAGAACGGGAGTTCGTCACGTGATACAACTGAAAAGGTTGCCCATCTGTTTGTGAATGAACTTTTATTGAACGGCATTCACACGGCGCCGATGTGCAAAGAGATAGTTTGGTATGGTTCTCTGGATAGGTTCCGCTATAAGAAAAAAAAATGACATTTTTTTTAATCTGAGCATAATCTATCGCAACCTTTTTTCTGTCTACCTCTTGCAAGAATGACGACAAAATGATAAAAAAAACAAGGACTGTTTTCCTGGTTGTCAACTCCCTGGTCGAAATGGTCCTAGATCCGAATCGCCGAATCGCAAACAACTACTTTTCACACATGCAAACAAATGAGCCGAGCGTAATAGGCTGGCTGATGGTGTCTTGTTTCGCAGGCCACTTGGGTGTCTCGGGCATCTTAAGCGGCCTCGTCGTACTTGGCGTTGTGAGTGGCAATGGCGCTGTGATGGTTGTCAGGCAATGGTCAAATCAAACACGGGCTATCAATGGCGTCGTCATTGAAAAGGAGACTTACCGGCCGCTAGGGTCAGTCTGCTTCGACCACGTCGGCGTCCAGCGCATAACGGTCGAGGCGCAGGACTGGGGGAAGTGCTCGTCGAACATAAGGCGGTACCAGTAGCTGTTTTTGTTAGTCGTGTTCCAAAGAACGTAAGACGGGGCGAGACCAAAAAATGCAAAAAATACAAAAAATACATACGCCTCCTTGGTGTCCGGGATGTCGTCGCCCCACTCGGGCTTGGGGTTCTTCATCATCTCGTCGGTGACCTGCAGCTCGGCGTTGTCCTTGAGGGCGTCGATCCACCCGTAGCCGACGCCGTCCGAGAACTGCTCCTTTTGGCGCCACAGGATGTTGTCCGGCAGGTACGGCGCGGCGCTCGGGTCGTCCGAGGTGTCAAAGGCCTTGCGCAGAATGTACTTTTCGATGCGCTCCTTGGTGATCATCTTCTCGGTGGGGTCAATGTTCATGGTGGTCTCGAGGAACTGCTTGTCCAGGAACGGCACGCGGGCCTCCAGCCCCCAGGCCGATGTCGACTTGTTGGCGCGCAGGCAGTCCGCCAGGTGCAGGTTCTTGACGCGGCGCACCGTCTCGTCGTGGAAGGCCTCGCGGTCGGGCGCGGCGTGGAAGTACAGGTAGCCGCCAAAGATCTCGTCGCTGCCCTCGCCGGACAGGACCATCTTGATGCCCATGGCCTTGATCTTGCGCGACAGCAGGTACATGGGCGTCGATGCGCGGATGGTGGTGACGTCGTACGTCTCGAGGTGGTAGATGACGTCCGACAGGGCGTTGAGGCCGTCCTCGATGGTAAAGGTCATGACGTGGTGCTTGGTGCCGAGGAACTTGGCAACCTCGAGCGCGGCCTTGTTGTCGGGCGAGCCGGGCAGACCAATGGAGAAGGAGTTGAGCTGGGGCAGGTAGGTGACGGTGGACAGCTTGTTGTCGTCGTCAATGCCGACCAGGCCCTCACCGCGGTCCATGTTGTCGTGGTTGTCGGCCGACACGGCGCCAAAGGACGCCGGCTCGGTGCTGCCGTTGGCCGCAGCGAGCTCTCGCATGCGGAGCGTCTCGCGCTGGGCAATGGAGGCGACCAGGCTGGAGTCGAGACCGCCCGACAGCAAGACGCCGTAGGGCACCTCGGCCATGAGCCGTTTCCGGACGGAGCGCTCGAGGGTCTCGCGGATCAGGGTCAGGTCCAGGGGCGTGCTGGGCACGCGCTTGGGGTCCCACCAGGTGGGCTCGAAGTAGCGCGTGCGCTGGTTGGTCTGGCTGTCGAAGACGTGGCCGGGGGGAAGGACTCGATCTTGTCGCAGACCGGGTGCAGGGCCTTGAGCTCGGAGCCGAAGTAGGTGGTGCCGGGCTCCTTGGACGACCAGCCCTGGTAGAACGTCGTGATGCCGATGGGGTCCCGGGCGGCTATTGTGCGGTCCAGCTTCTTGTCGTAGAGGACGAACGAGAACATGCCGTCGAGGAACTTAGCCGCGTCGATGCCATGCTCCATGTACAGCGGGATGATGACCTCGCAGTCGGAGGTGGTCTTGAAGTGGTACGGCGTCTTCAGGTTCTTGCGCAGAAGACGGTGGTTGTAGATCTCGCCGTTGACGGCAAGGACGATGCTCTCATCGGCGTTGGTCAGGGGCTGGGCGCCGCTCTCTGGTCGGTTGTCAGTATACGCCGTTGCGTTGACGGGTGGGAGTTGGTAGGGTGCGACATACCGACACCGACGATGCTGAGCCGCTCATGGCACAGAACTGGATACGTTAGCAACGAGTCAGAATATAAAGTCAGAGAGAGAAAAAGGGACATACTGGTCTGGTTGCTGATAACACTGCCGCCTGCAGTTCCATTTCCGTCAGTACAGTTCCTTCTTCCATCTCTTGTCCACCATAATAGGGGGGAAACAGCGCCGGCGCGCGAGTGTCGGGCGGCATAGACATACTCCAATCGGGGCCACGGTGGCGGATACTGCAAAGAAACAAAGAGTCGTCAGCACAAGGACGGCTATTGTGGACAACATTTGGAGCATAAGGAGAGAGGGGGGTACTTACGCCTTGGACAGCCGGAGGGCCGTCGGCTTGAATTTCTGGACGTCGGGGTGACTATCGCGGGTCAGAGATGCGACCAGGAACCTCAATTGGAAGACACTGTGTCATTGGGAGGCTTGCGAGCGCTGTTGAGGCTTTGTTGAGCACGTCGTGTGCCGTGGTGGCCGCCAAAACGACCCCGCGCAAAGTGTGACTCAAGCGCGCCAATGCCCGCAAAGCGCCAAAAAATGAAGCCAAAACCGCATACAGCGGCGATGTGTGACCTACCGGTGACAAGCGAAGATGCCACACATTTTGGTGGATTGTTATTGTTGCCTGGTGTCTCGAGAGGTTCTCTGTTCTCTTTGACGCTGGAGCGCTAAATTTGAATTCTGTCTGCGCAGGTGGACGTTTTGTGTCAGCACAGGGATGGGTGCTCGTGTCTATATAGGAGACCGAAAGAGAGCCGCACGGTAACTTCAGAAGAAGAGAAGACGGAAAACAGCCGACGAAGACCTTACCTGAGAGATAAACGGTGCGTGGGATAAACTGTCGGCCACCCACGTCGGAAAACAAGTCGAGGGTCAGGAGGGCAAGGTCGCGTGTGCTGCGGCGGGTTCTGGTGATGTGTCGAGAGCAGGAAAAAGGGACGCAAGCGGCCAGCAGAGACGAGGTCGTCGGCTTTGGAGAGGCAAAGAGGTGTGTGTCATAAATGCTGGACAGCGAAAATTGCCTGCAACGCTGTTTTCTAGGGCCTTTTTTTTTATAGTACTATTATTTTTCGTTCTTTTTCTTCGTTCCTGCTACGGACGGACGGGCTACTTCACGCTTGGTATGCTCTTGCCTCCAGCCGTCGATAACAGCGACTATTGCAACTAGTGTAGCCTGCTCTGCACATGCTCTTTCCCACCGGCCACCGACTATCGTTGTGGTTCCTTCCTCTTGCTATTATATTTTCACGTTTTTTTTGTTTTTTTTTTTTTTTTTTTGTCTCCTGCACGTTCGACGGCGTCGAGCGCTGCTGTCGCCCCTCCTTTTCGCGCTCGGTCGCCCCCGCTATTTTTGGTCTTTGGTCCCCTGCGTTTTCTGCCGTGTCGTTCCTTCCGTGAAGTTGGGACGACAGTCACAACAATGCTTTGTACGAAGTACTCCCTCCCGGTCGCTCTTGCCTTCCACTTTTGATAGATAGCCCTGGTGACTCTTTGGGTGGGTATCGTTTGTGACGTACAATTGGAGAAATCGGAGCACAAAAAAAAAGGTTTGAGATCTGCTGGGAAACGGACGAAACTAGTCGTGGATTTCAATCTGTGGCCTCCTATTTGCTGCCGGTATCGGCTGAGCCGCTAATTGGCCCGCTCCTTCCTCCCTCTTTCTTATTACTCACATTTTACAGTATCAGAGTTGACGACAAAACTAGAAGGCACAGGCGGGTTCAGAACGCCAAATAACGCTTGTTAGATGGTAGTTTGTGGAAAGAACGGTTGGGCAATACATCGCGCGACAAGATGCCCCTGCCAACGATACGGGAAGGCGCGCATGCCGCTGGAAAGACGCCGATGCTGCGACAGTGAATATGAGGCACTCACCGTCCTGCTGCACTTACATGCCACTTACACCACCAGATAAGGCTCTGCAGGGCCATTGGATTATGCACACCACTGGCGCAACGTACGTAAATACAGCACAGATCGGCCAATCGCCCGCAAAGATTGCACATTGAGTCATGCAACCCCCCAGTCCTCTCCATCCTACCTTGTCCGTGGGATGGATCACAAGACGCGGCCAGCTTTACACGGATATTGGCTGCTGGTGGGATCAAAACAAGGTGCAAATGCTCACCTGTGGTCTTTGTGAGTGCATTTACCCTTCTATTCGACATTGTCAGCATGAGATGTACGACATAAATATCTCGTGGGGGAAAAAACTCCCCGTGTCAATGTCGAAAATTCTCTATCACGACAGACTCGCTGCTTGTACAGCCTGTGACTACATTCCAAGTGTAAAAAGAACGCCACAGTTCATCTTCTTACGTATACGTCCAACTCACGGATGTCGAAAGACGCTGTTCTACTCAGATCTGTATTGGTATCTATCTCCTCCTTGTCGTTCCATGGCGTGTCAGGCCGTGCTCATATCATCCATCCTGCCCACCATGGTCCCGAAATAACTCCCACATCGCCATGTGTCCTGGTGTTGTGCGGCTAAATATACAAATGCAGTGCAACTCAACGAAAGATGGCAAAAATTATAAAATCACCAGGCCAAAAAAAAAAAAAAAAGAAAAAAAGAACAAAAGCAGACGCAAGCAGAGAACAAATCAAAAACAACAAACCACGGTACATGAACCCCTTGCAAATGCTCCGTCGTTTTCAGACTCCTCGCAGGCAAAGAAATATGTCAACGGAGGCGCTGGCCTCGCCCCCAAGAACCGCCCATCCTCAGGGAGCCGGGTTCTCCTGGACGGTCCGGCGGACTCGCCTCTCGTAGTCGGCCTTGTCCTTCTTGAAGAGGTTGTAGGCCTCCGCCTGGGCGGGCGAGTCCGGGTTAGGGTCGTCGAGCAGGTCCTGGATGCCGAGCGCGATCTGCTTGATCGTGATGGCCGGCTTCCAGGCCTCGTCTTCGTTGAGGATCGACAGGCAGATGGTGCCCGACGGGTAGACGTTGGGATGGAACAGCGGCGGAACGAACTTGCACTTTGGTGGCTTCGTGGGGTATTCTACACAGGTTAGCAAGGCCTTCGGTCCAGCGAACAGTACGCAAGCAAGCAACCCGCATCCGAAACGTACCATCCGGGAATGTCATTGTGAGCTTAAACATGCCGCCCTCCCAGATCGTCTTCTCCTTGCCCGGGATGCCGCACTCCCAGACCTTGAGGTCAAGGACGCCCTGTGCGTTGCGTACTGGCTTGGCATAGAAGCCGAACGGGTGGTCCTTGCGCCACAGTTTCCTGTAAAAAACAAAGTATCAGCACAAGTGTGCTCCAAGTCGCAGTAGACTCTCCCACGCGAAGGGCGAGAGTTTGAAGGCCAACATACCTCTCCTCCTGGAGCCGGTTCTGGCAGAGAGACATGGCTTCGGCTGGGGTTCTGTGAGAGGGTTGTTGAGGGAGTGGTTACGGTAGTAGTTTTAGGTAAATGGGCCGCAGAGATTGTCGAGATGCTGTAATAACGATAGGCGAAATATGACAAGAAGGAGTAAGTCAACGCAGACGTGTTGTCGGTGACGCGGAGCTCGCTGGTCTTGCCGCTTGGCCGACTGGGAGTTGAGGGACGCTTGCGCAAGGCTGACGAAAGTTTTGTCGCAAACAAGGCAACTATGACGGATAGGAGAAGAGTTAGCTGGTTTCTTGCCAATGCACAGAGACAAGGAAACTGGCGGTGGAGGTCGGCGCGTGACAACGTGAAGGGCGAAAGGGCAAAAGAAGAAAAAAAAGGAAGAGAGAGGACAAGAACGAGTGGCAAAGAAGGCGAGACATACTGGAATATCAACCGGCGTAGAGCTCTGGCTGGCGCTATGCAGTGCAGGTGGACAAAATAAGAGTGACGCTCAGAAAACGGAAAAGGATTTTTGAGGGGTGACAATTTGCACGTCTTCCATTTCGCGATTTGCGATTCACGCCGCACGGTGGTCGTTCCTTCCCAGGGCCTTGCGGCAAACAGGCGCGCTAGGCGGGGCGAGCCCGGAAGAGAGACGCCATGCGACAAAAAAATGACTAATACTGCTTATGTCATATTGCCAAAGGCCAAGACACTGAAAGCCGCACAGTCCACAGCGCCCACAGCGTAACCCACAGCGGGGTAAGAGCATGAACAGTAGAGAGTAGCACTGGGGAAAGAGCCAGGACAAGCTAGAGTGGAGAGACGACGGCGCTCTTTCCCAAATACAGAAGAGACAGGAGACCTTGGCTTGTGAAAGGGCCGAGGAACAAAAATACAGGAGCAAAACTGAAATTAAAATAAACAAGAACCCAGCGACAAGCACGCCTCGGTTGGATACCACATTGTTACGTTCTTCATAGTCCGGACGTTTCAAAAACGTCTTCATTCGACGTATTGGTTCTCTTGTTGGGCTCGGCTTACACCTACCGAAGCGCATTTCGCAGAGAGGAGAGCTTTGCCGGTCATTCACGGCCGTCTTGCTGCAACCGGCCAGCCGAATCGGCATCCTTTGGGCCGTCCACTGATTTGACATCGACATTAGTGGAGCAGGACAACCGCCATGGGGGAGACAAGGAAAGAGGAGGCTGCCACGGTGCCACCTGTCACGACGACGGAAGATGTGAAGCCGCAGACGCAGCCGGAGGTGGCGAAAGCAGAAAAGGTCAAGGCTGAGGAGCCCGAGACGGAGAAACCCAAGGCAGAAGAGGCAACAGCAGAAAAGACAAAAGAGTCGCCAGCAACACCGGCTGCTACTGCTGCTGCTGCTCCCGCCGCTGCGCCAGCACGACCCGAGGCTGACGCCGAGATGGAGGATGTGCCCGATCCGGACGAGGACGACCTGGACGACCTGGATGGTACGTGAGACGCTGGAAGGCGCTTGACATCTCTTTATAGATGGGCAAAATTCTAACGACATAGACCTGCTCGACGACTTCTCTGCAGCCAAGATCGAGACCAAGACGCCGGCCGCACCAGCGGCTGCCGCCCCATCCATTCCTGCACCGACACTGCCACCCGGCCTCGAAGGCGACGAGAATCTGGAGGAACTCCTGAACGACGATGATTTTGCAAAGCAGTTGCAAGCAGGCATGGCCGACTTGATTGGCGAGATTGAGAAATCGGTAAGTGGCCAACGGATACGAGTCGTTGTTCGGTCCCGAGGACAGCAGAACGACGACACAACACATCTAACAATTGCTCTAGCCCGACGTCCAGGCACAGTTTGAGAGCTTATTTAAGGAGTTTGGCATCCCACAGCCGACCGACGGCTCAGGCAGCAACATTGATCTGGCCGCTGCAGCGGCCGCCGCTACCGGCGCTGCTGCTGCCGAGCACGTTGCTTCCCAACCGAAAGCGAGCGGCCCAGCGTCCACGTCAGCGACGTCCAAACCGTCCGCCGGTCCCTCATCGTCGTCCGCGTCCGCGTCTGCGTCCGCCTCCACGCCCGCGGCCGACGCCTCGTTCCAAGAAACCATCCGTCGCACGATGGAGCGCATGCAGGCCTCGGGCGACCAGGCGACTGCTGCGGCGGCGGCCGACTCGCAAAGTACCGACGACATGCTGTCTGAATTTATGAAGCAGATGCAGTCGGGCGGGCTCGCCGGGCCGGGCGGCGAAGAGGACCTGACCAAGATGCTGATGGGCATGATGGAGGAGCTGACGAACAAGGAGATTCTGTACGAGCCGATGAAGGAGCTCAACGACAAGTTCCCGGCGTGGATGGAGGCGAACCGCAGCACGACGAGCGCCGAGGACCTGAAGCGGTACGAGGAGCAGCAGGTGATTGTGCGGGAGATTGTCGAGCGGTTCGAGCAGCCGTCCTACACGGACACGAACCCCGAGGACCGCGAGTACATTGTGGACCGCATGCAAAAGGTGAGGACGCCGCGCCCGGTGATGAATGTACTTTGGAAAGCAACTAACGATTGTGGTCACAGATGCAAGCGGCAGGCTCTCCGCCACCCGATCTGGTAGGTGACATGCCGAGTGCGCAGGAGGCACTCTCCGTTCCGGACGATTCGTGCAACCAGCAATAAATGCGCGAGAGAACGAGGTGAGGAGAGTTCGAACACAAGCACATTGATATTCTTGTATATTGCATTATTTTACCACACACTGGACAATAGACACTTGCAGGTGACTTTGGGAAAGACAGTCAAAATGATTCACATATACCCAGCCATGTCTCAAAACCTGCAGACAGACAAAGCCAGTGAAAAAGGTAAATTAAAATAGTACAAAAAACATAAGATATATCTCAAAAGCCTGCAACCGTACGCCGAGCAAAACTCCGTAAACCGAAACCCCTAACTTGTGAAGTGATATGGGTGTCCCAACGGTGGTTGCCTTCCTATAATGCCATGTCCATGCCGTCTTCAGCCCCTCCTGACAGCAGCTCGTTAAATATGGCGTCATAGTCCTCGTCGTCCGAGTAGGCAATCGACGCCGGCCGTTCTGGCGGTGTCATTTGGCGCTGGCGGGGATCGGCCTCCATCGACGCAATCAGCGCCTCCATTTCGGCCTCTTCCTCCATTGCGAGCCGGTCCGCCATGTGCGCGTCCATGGCATCCGTGTCGTCGTCGTGCTCCTCGTCCTCGGCAGCGCGGTCGTAGTACATGCCGCCGCTGTCGTGCCGCCGCGCATGGTTCGAGGCCACCGTGGTAAAGCTGTCGCCATCGTCACCATCGCCATGATCAAAGAATGACGAAGACGGCATCGACGACGATGCCGACGACGGCGACGGCTCGGCCATCCAGTTGGCCGCGTCTTCAATGTCTTGCTCCGTCAGCATGCTCATGACGTCCGTCTCGCGCGCCTGCCGGAGGTCGCGCTCCAGCGACCACCACTCGAGCTTCTGCAGCTCCTGCTCAAAGTTGCGGCGGTCCCAGTTGCGGTCGTCGGCGCGCTGGCGGACATTCTTGAGAAAGAGGCTGCGGCGGGTCTGCTGGGCGGCGTCGCGGCTCTGCTGTCCACGCGGCACGGGCTTGGTTGGCCGCGAGGCGAAGCGGAACAATGGGGCTTTGTCTGTGGTGCTTGTGCTTGTGCTTGTACTTGTACTTGTACTCGAAGTGTCTCCGCCAAAGTTGAATATGGAGGGTTGAGCCGTTGCTTGAGACGACGACGAGGAAGACGGCTGAATGGGCGAGGATTGGGTGTCGAGCTGTGATGATAGCATGGGAGGAGACGAAGCGCGGATCGGCGAGGACGACAATGGCGACGGCCGCGATGGCCGGAAGGGCGATGACGCAAAGGCGGGTATCATCGGCAGGTGCTCAGGCGACGCGCCGCCGACGCCGAACGCGGGCGGCGTCATGACGGCAAACATGTTGGCGGCGGGCGGCCGGGATGTTGGCTGAGGAGACTTGTGGTGATGATTCTCGGTGCCGATGCTCTTTTGACCTGTCCTTTTTCCGTCCAGATTGACGGGTAGGGAGAAGATGAACAATACACGAGATGGTTGCTGAATTGCGATGGTAAATTAGATGATGTACGTATCGTAAGATTGGTAAGATGCGGTGGCGGTCGATGTATGGAATGCAAAAGAATGCAGAGTGTAGAATGACGATTGTGTTCAGGGAGCGTGTAAAGTGGCCGTTGGGGATAACGGCGATGATGAGGCGAGGGAGAAGGCGCGGCGCGTTGTGTCTCACTGATTAATGGGATTGACATGGCAAGTGCGGCCAGAAACGCGGTCGCCCTGGACGCGTCAAGAGCGCTATCACGTGCAGTTATGGCCCTGGTGGCGAGAAACCCCGCTGTGCCCGATCCTGCCCGGTTTCTGCAGAAAGTTGGAAGGAACAAAAAAAAAAAAACATTACAGCGAGAAGGCACGCTAGCAAGTTCTGTACAGGTGGCAGCTCCCAGCAGTCAGTGGTCTGATGGCGCAGATGCGGCCCCAAAGTGCCCAAAGTGCCCTGAAGCAGCTCAACAATTGGATCGCAGTATCCGCATGAAAAAACAAGCCGACAACGACGTCAGTTGTTCATGTGCCGCAGTTTACCTCGTCTTCCACCCTCAACCTCACAATTCGATGGAAACAATGAGGGTTCTTCACTAGATATTTCCCTCCCTCCATACCTTTCCCCTTCTCTCCTCTCCTTGCCCAATCTCTCGACTTCTCCTTTCTCTCGCCGCGTCCGCTTCCGCTCCGCTCCGTTTCGTTTTCTTTTCCTTCGGCTCTCGATGCGGACTCTATTTCTGCGGCCGTCGGCCGTGTCGTCCATTGTGGGCTCTCTCGGCCGACAGCGTGCCAGCACGCAGCCGTCGTCGCAAGGCTGGGCCTGTGTCAAGTGCCGGCGGGGCCAACTGAACGGCCAGCGCACCACGGCCGGTGTCCGCTTCTCGTCATCAGCATCGACCGCAACGAACCCAGCAAGCAGCGCCAGAGCAGGCGGCCGGACCGTTCCTCCACCACCGCCACGCTCGTCGCGCGGCCGGCGGGCCATCCTGCTCACGGCAAGCGGCAGTGCGGCCACGGCAACGATCCTGGCCTTCACCGACGACATCAAGCAGAGCTACGAGACGGTCGAGCGGACAGGCCGCGTGGCCGCGACACTGGTGCTCTGCATCAACGAGTAAGCGAGCCCCCGAGATATGCAATGCACCAATGGCAAAGGGCCGCGTGCTAACACAGGCCAGTTACCGAAAGACACTCCGCCAAAAAGACAAGATCGAGGACGAGGCCGAGCAGTCGGCTATCATCAAAGCCTGCCACAAGCGCTGCGCTCTACGGACGCTGCATGTGCTCGAGAAGAACGGCGGCATCTTCATCAAGCTGGGCCAGCACCTTGTGAGTCGTGGACGTGTTGACGTGTTCTTGCTGTACATAACCCGGGCGTTTGCTGACGGAAACAGAGCGCCATGAACTACCTTTTGCCCTCCGAATGGACGACGACCTTCATCCCCCTCCAGGACAAGTGCCCTGTCTCGTCCTTTGAATCGGTCCAGCAAATGTACCGCGACGACACCGGCACCGATCTGTGGGACTACTTCTCCGAGTTCTCCGCGGAGCCGATCGGTGCAGCGTCCCTCGCCCAGGTCCATGTGGCCACGATCCGCGCCACGGGCCAGAAGGTCGCCGTCAAGGTGCAGCATCCCAGCCTGGCGCAGTGGGCGCCGCTCGACATGGCCCTGACGACGTTTACGTTTTCGACGCTCAAGCGCTTCTTCCCCGAGTACGATCTGGACTGGCTGTCGTCGGAAATGGCCCTGTCGCTGCCGCAGGAGCTCGACTTCGCCCTCGAGGGCAAGAACGCCGAGCGCACCAAGGCGCACTTTGCCGCCATCCCCCAGCTGCCGCTCGTCGTGCCGGACGTCCTCTGGGGCCAGGAGCGCATCCTCGTCATGGCGCACGAGGTCGGCCACCGCCTCGACGACCTGGCCTACCTCGACCAGAACGGCATCGACCGCGACGAGGTGTCCGCGGCGCTCGCGCACATCTTCAACGAGATGATCTTTGGCGACGGTGCGCCGCTGCACTGCGACCCGCACGGCGGCAACCTGGCCGTGCGCGCGCGGCCGCCCGCCGGCAATGCCGTCGCGCGCTGGCTGCGCCGCCTGCCGTGGCGCAACCACGACAACTTTGACATTATCTTGTACGACCACGGCCTGTACCGGGACATCCCGCTCGCGCTGCGGCGCTCGTATGCCAAGATGTGGCTCGCCGTGCTCGACGGCGACATGGCGCGCATGCAGCGCTACGCCTACGAGGTGGCCGGCGTCGACGAGGCGTCGTTCCCGCTGTTTGCCTCGGCCATTACCGGCCGCGACTACCGCGTGCTCGCCTCCGGCTCTATCATCCAGCCGCGCACGACGGACGAAAAGGAGCACATTAGCGGCCAGCTGCAGGACGGCCTGCTGGCCGAGCTCGTGCAGCTTCTCGGCAAGGTGCCGCGCATCATTCTGCTGATTCTCAAAACAAACGACCTGACGCGCAGCCTCGACGACGCCCTGGAGACGAAGCAGGGCCCCATCCGCTCGTTCCTCATCATGGCGCAGTACTGCCTGCGCACCGTGTTTTACGAGCAGGTCGGCGCCATCCGCGCGCAGCACGGCTCGCTCTGGTGGCCGACGAACCTGGCGCGCCTGCTGGGCGCGTGTCTGCAGTATCTCAAGGGCGAGGCCAAGCTCGAGGGCATTGACCTGTGGCTGCGGGCGCGGCGGCTGGCCGGCATGAAGAACCTGACTGTCGGACCGCCGTCGGTGACGTGATGGCGTTGACGAACGTAGTCTTGTACGATGTTATGATGATAATTTTTTACACCGCGCTGAACATATACAAACGATAGATTTTATGCACATGGAGACTATTTGTGTCGGGTGATTTAACCTGCGGCGTACAGAAAAATGCGACCAATGTATCCAAGCCATCTACTACGGCCCAGAATCAAATACTAGACAGAAACGATTGAATTGTAGCAAAGACCCTAGCTTTTAGCAAGCAAAACGGCAAACATGGAATAACCAAGAACCCTAAACTCCTTTTGTGCTGCGGACCCCCAAAATACAACCGGCATACACAAGATACACACCCACCCCCACAATGTACACATCCATCACCCACCACGCCCCGTCTACTCCGCCGACGTCTTGCCCAGAACACCGTCCGCGGCCGAGCCGCTGCGGCGCCGCCGCCGCTGCAGCACATCGTGCACCCAGTCGGACAGCGTGAAGCCCCAGTGGCCGGCCACCAGGGCGCCGCTGAGGACATTGACAATCTTGAGGGCAAACAGCAAGAAGCCGTCGCGCGACTCGACAATGTTGAGCAGGATGGGCTCAATGTCGTACTTGAAGAAGATGCCGGGGATGTTGCGCTCGTCGATCTCGGCGCTCTGCTCGGTGACGGCGTACTGGTTCGTGAAGATGGCGCGGGCGTCGCGGCGGCCGGGGCGCCCCACGCTGTAGACGGTGGGGACGACGGACATGAAGTACTGGAAGCGGTGGAGGTGCGCGGTGGCGCCGTTGACCGTCTGGTCGAGGGGGTTGACGAGGGACGGGTAAAAGGGCCCAAACGAGAGCTCGTTGATAATGTGCGAGAAGTTGAAGGCGTTGTGGTCGAGGTGGTTGAGGTGGTCGCCGACGCCCATGTAGCCGTGCCCGCGCGCCGTGATGTGGAAGTCGCCCTGCACCTTGTTGAGGTCGAGGCTGCCGTAGACGCGGCAGCTGTCGCCCTGCCCGTGGGCGCTCGACGGCAGCTTGGGCGTCTTGCCCCAGCGCGCGCGCCGCCGGCCCAGCGCCACAATGTCGTGCACGTGCTCCTCGCCGAAGCCCTCCTCGTGCGGCAGCGTCGTCCACCCCTCGCCCGTGACGAGGCGGCCCTGCGCGTCGCGGCCCAGACGGTGGATGCCGCGCGCGTCCACCCACTGCTGCCACGTGGTGGCGTCGCGCTGCAGCAGCGACGCGGCCAGGATGCGGTCGCCGGCGGCGTCCTGGACGTTGATGTGGAGGTCGTCGCAGTGCATCTTGACGAGGATGTCCAGGTTGATCTGCATCGTGCGGCCGACGCCCTTTTCGACGGCAAACGTGTGCTCCTCGGCGCCCGTCCACCAGCGCGCCAGCTCCGACCAGAAGAGGATCACGGACACCACGACCATGGCCACCGTCCACTTGCCGCCGCCCGACGTCCGCTGCACATACTGCGGTTTGGATTTGGCTGTTCGGTCAGCGCGGCCACACACGATACTGGCTCGCCGTTTTGAACAGCGAATGGTGAATACATACGGAATGCGTCAAAGGCGCTGACAATGCTGCTGCCCGCCTTGGGCCCAAACGCATCGTCGTCGACGCGCGCGTGCGGCTTCTGGTCCTGGGCCTGAGCCTGAGCCTGGGCCTGGTTCTGCTCGTAGCCCCCGTTGCTGTATCCGCCGTTGTTGTAGCCTCCGTTGTAGCCCTGCTTCTCGCCGTAGCCGCCGTTGTTGTATCCCTCGTAGCCGTTCATCGTGGCGGCGTCGCGATCGTCGATCGAACTCGCCGTTCGCCGAGAGCCTCGCCCTCTCGAATTCTCTGCTTGTCGATTGGGGAAATCAGCTTCGTCCTTTGCCTTCTACCACATATCTCGCGCCGGTCTGGTTATTGCTGACGGAGAACCGAAACGTGGCAGGTCGTGTCGACGTGAGCAGCAGAAGCGGTTCTTCGCAAACGTCAATTCGGTCCCCTTGCTTGGTCGGTCGTCGGTCGTCGCTCGTAAAAGGGTCGTCGATGAAGCTGGGATTCTCTGGGATGATTGCACCGGCCGTGGTCGGTTGCTTTCTTTGCCGGGTTGAAAGGACAGCTCAGCGGAAAAAGGATGCATCCAATATGTGGCCCTATGGAGGAGCACTAACAAATTGGTCCCTGCCAAATTGGCTGCCAAATGCGTCTTTCACTGAGCACAATGGCTCTTGCCCGTTTTGGGCGACACGGCTGGCGTGCTCTTTCCCCCTGACTTGGCCAATGGGACACTGCCCAGGCGACGCCGTTGTGCACTAGCGCATTGAAGACCCCTGACAGCATGCGGCTAATTTTGGGGGTCGTCTGGAGTGAGACAAGACAGCGCTGCGCTCATCAATACGGGGGCAGTTTGGGCCCTTTGGACTCTGTACGCAGGCGCACTCGTGGGGAAGGCCACATGGCGTTGTTCTCGGGGCGTTTGCGTTCTCTTCATAACACAATTGACCACTGCCTTATATGTACAAGTTACAGAGTCTTTCGCAATTCCAATCTGCAAGAGGCTACGTGATAATAGTCGGCACGGCCTGCCGTTCACTCTGCTACCCGGCAAGCGTCTTCTGCCGGTCTGGATGTTGTTTCTCCGCACATGGCGGTCCCGTTTTATTTGCTGCATACCCTCAGAGGTTCATAATCCGTTTGTGTGCATCCATTATAAACATGCCCGACTACTTGCTCTAGTACCGCTCGATAATGAATTCGCGCCGTATCGAGTCCATGGGTGGCCTGGAGAAATAGAGCGCGGTCTCGGCCGTCTTGACCGTCACATAGTGCTCGACCACGTCGGGGCCGATTAGGTGGACAAACGTCTCGTCCTTTTGCAGGGCCTGCAGCGCACTGCTCACGTCCGCCGGCAGCATACTCGTGATGCCCAGGTTGGTTCGCTCTGTCGGCGTCAGCGTGGCGGGGTCGACAGTGCAGTCGGCCCACGTGAGCTCCTGGTTGTTGACGACGCCCGACAGGCCGGCCAAGAGCACGGCCGTCAGAGCCAGGTACGGGTTGGCCAGGCCGTCGACACACTTGAGCTCCCAGTGGCTGTCCTCGATCTTGCGCAGCGGCGTCTCGCGGTTCTGCGTGCCCCACGTCACCCACCGCCCGCCGGCCCACGCGCTGTCGACGACGCGCTCGTAGCTCGAGGGGCTGCTGTACGTAAACGCCGCAATGGCCTGCAGGTGCTCGAGGATGCCGGCATAAAACTTCCCGTACAGGTTCTTGACGTTGCCCCTACCGTCGGGCGTCACTAGGGACAGGTGCATGTGCGACGCGGTGCCACAGGCGTTGGCATACGGCTTGGGGTGCAGAGTGAACTTGTAGCCCGCCTTGGTGGCGCGGTGCGCAATCGCCTCCCGCGCGAGGAGGAGGCTGTCGACGGCCTCGAGCGGCGGCTTGGCTGGCAAGATGAGCTCGAATTGGCCTGGTGCGCTCTCTGCATGGATCTGCTCGACCTCGACGCCGGCTGCGTCCAGATCCTGGACAATGTCACGGATGAGCCGCGCGACGGCCGGGTTGTTGTAGAAGCGACTGGCAGACCAGGCGTGCCCATCGTTGGAGAGCATGGCGAAGCGTTGGCCGGGCGTGTGCGATTCTGTTCTCTGCAACAAAACAAACTCGACCTCAAACCCGACCAGATGCGAGATGCCTACACCGGCCGAGAGCTTGATTGCACGGATCAACTGCGACCGGGGACACAGTGGCACCCGTGACCCGTCCTTTTCGCGGAACACGCCGTTTACATTGATGTGGCCATCCATCGGGCCCACCGTCAATGACGAAAAGTCGGGGTGGAGCCGATATTCGCCTGTTGGCGTCACCCCTGGCGCGGCCGTATCGTTCTGGAGAAGTCCGAGACACGCCTTGGTGATGCCAATGTCGAGCGAACTGTTTGACCGGACCAGTCGATCGAACCGCCGGAAGGGGATCATGCGCATGCGTGGCAGTGACGTGTAGTCGAGCCAGGAGACTCGCACAAAGTCCGGAGCGGCCTTTCCACGTGTGAAGGCGTCCCAGATCGTCAAGTCGGATGGTGCCGGTACCTTTCCCACCTCGCCTTTCGCCTCGCGAATCGCTTCGTCTGCTTCGGCCACTGCGCCCGGAACCTCAAGTCCCAGTTGGTAGACTTTGTTCGCGTTCCGGAAGAGGATGTCTTGCACCAGTTGGACAGCCGCTTGCCATCCGATTTGTCCACTCCGAACTAAATCGCAGACCACCTAGTCCCCGTGTCAGTTTTCATCTGTTCTGCCTTCTTCCCATGTCCCACATATCCTTAGTCCGAAAACCATGGGGGATGAGGGACTGTCTTACTGTTTCAAGAACGTCCCGGGCTTGGAGAATGGCAAGAAGGTATGTTTCCGGGAACCAGTGTCCATCCGTGCTCAACATCACCTTAGACCACGGGCAGAGTTCAAGTATCTCCCGCAGCATGGATTCCTGCCCGTGGCGGGCAACGATGGGGAACACCTCGCCAATGTCTGCATAGACGTTGCTGTACACTGTGGCAAGGTATCCCGTGTCGCGAACGTAAGGGTATCCCGAATGCAACAGTACAATCGGAACAGTCGAATACGTGCGAATAAAATCTTGGAGATGCGCCGGCGACGATTTTGTCAAAGTGATGTCGTTGTCACCGAGCCCCGTGTGGAATTGAATCGGCTTGTTGAACCGGCCGGGAGAGGAGCGGATATGAATCGCAGTACGATGGACAAACAGGTCGTTCAGGCCAGCATGCTGCAGCCGGCGGAAGCGTTTGCCGGACGTCGAATGAGTGGTGACGATCTCGGAAAACGACTCTCGCGCGCCGGCAATGTCTACAACGCGAGGCATGGCCAGGCCAGTGCGGTAGCAGATGACGGACTTGAAGCCAACGACGTCTGGATCCGAGATGGCCTGTTTGATCTGGGTGTCAAACTCTTCGAGCATGTTGTCAAAGACATTGTCGAGAGGCTGCGCGTTGTCAAAGGCCACACAGTGACGGTTGATGATGTCGGCCGCCACTGCTTCAATACGGACGATTCGGCGGCATTTGGTGGGGGTGAACTTGCTGTGCCAGGTGTGTTCGTACGCGTCGTCCTCGCTGTCCAGTCCGTCGTCAAGCAAGATCGTTTCAAGGCCCTCGAGACACTGGGCAACCCAGGCATTGTAATCGCCACCGCGGCGCTCTTCGATTGCTGCCACCACGGAGTCCCACGTCGCATGACACCCAAGGACACCCGATAGCTGCTGCACAGCACGGTGGTGAGACAGTGCCGTGACAGAAGCACGGATGGCGTCTCCATGAGCCTCGCTGACGATGGAGAGAAGAGGATGCCGGCCGACAGCCTCGGGTTTCAGAAGCGGGTGTGCGTGGTTGTCGATAATGGGCATCGTCTTGATGACTTGGACGACTCGCCGGATCTGGTCTTCGGTCGCAACCGCGGGTTTTAGAGCGCCTGGTAGCCCGGCTTGGCCACCTGGCGCAGAGGCTGCCATTGTTCAACAGGTGATATAGTGGTTATAGATGGGTGAAAGGTCGCGTGTTGTTAGGAGTACATCGGCCGTTCTCGCCCTTTGCGCAATATCTCGTCAAGATCGTAAGTTGACGAGAAGAACGTTAAAATAAGGGCAATTCTAGCAACTTAAAAACTGAAATGGTCGTCACCAGGTCAAGGAATATTGCGGTCAAGTACCCTTCGAAACTTCCCGACAGCAAACCACACCTGTCGCTCAGTTTGATGTGACGGCCACAAAGTGGCGACGAGGTAGGACGCCCGGTGTGGGCTGGGGTTAAGGCTCAATGTAGAGAAAGGGGGAGGGCGCTATTGTGTGCTTTTGGGCGCTTTCGACATATGTCCCGGACGGCAATGTGTTCACACCACTGGGACGAGAGGAGAGATTCGTTGAAGGCGGCGCTTTCGTCTCCCTTCGGCCTTGTACAACGGTGGAGGTCCAATACTGGTGGGGATTTGCGATTGCGAATTTGAGAGGTCGTGGGACAGAGTTGACAAAACAAGGGTGTCACGAGCACAGCCGTGTCTAGCGATCGCAGTTTGCTTTCGTGATGAGATAAAATTACGGTATGAGCCGTAGGCCACTGGGCTCTGCCGGAAGCAAGGAAAAGGGATGTCGCAGCTGCCGATCGACGGCTGGTTCACTCATCCAACCGTGACGAGTAGTTTCTTGAACCTCGCTGACCCCTGTCGAGTCGGCCAACCGAGTCTTCGACGACGAAAGCTGCACAAGCGAGATGCTACACTTGGAAAACCGCACGGCTGCAACAGTGCCTCAGCGGAAGGATCAGCGAAGCAACTGCGGAGCAATAATGCACATACAGATATCACAGCTGCCAGTGCTAATGCTCTGTAACTAGACCAGCAGCTGTCAAAAGTGGAAAATGTGTATACGGCTGGTGAGGATAGGCGGGTGGTTCCGCTGGGGAGTCGAAGTGGCGTTCCCTCGTTGTCTATCTTGACTGATGTTTCACGCTATCGCACCGGCCCTGCGCGATCTGGTCTTTTGCATTAGGGTCTCAAGTGTCTGCAAGGGCTGGTGCTTTCGTGCTTCTGGCCGTGATTGCGCGACTTTGACAGTGCCATGCGTCTCTGTCGGCGCGGTGAAGCAAATCTGGTGTTAGCTCCTCTCCAGGTATGGTGGCATTTGGCCGTGTCAACTTGTCGCTTATGCGATTGTTTGAGGTATATGTTGTATTCGCAGTGACAATGGAATTTTCCAAGGGTCCAGCTGCCATAAGGTTTGTTCTCGACGGTGTTCTAGACTTTGCGTTTCAGATTAGGTTGGGAGGCCCAAAACAGTTATCAGAGCGTCTCCAAAACGGCCAGAATCCACAGTCGCCAGCAACGCGGGGATGCCCCGTTTGGCATTAGATGCAATCAGCAACGCCGAGTGTGGTTTCGGTTCTGGATGCATCTCTGTATGTTGTATATGTGTGTCGTACTCCGTGCAACTTACGCGAGTAATGTTGGATGTGATAATTGTCAATGAGTGTGGGATTGGCGCTTCTTTCTCGCTTTGGAGCTATTGTTGTTCGTCGGGGGGAAAAGCTGCCACGGATGCTTGACAAGGACTGTGATTGTAGACCCGAGGGTGAGGCACGCGAATTGTAAGAAAGGGGCAGTGGGGATGGATTTGCTGCGGAGAAAATGCGGCAAGACCCCAACAAAAAGCAGGATACAACTTGTCAACAGGAAGGGAAGTTGCGATGCGAATCATATGGCGTTGTTCCTGCCTTGCAAAGCAACCTCAAGTACAGCTGTTGTACTTTCCGGCATGAGCAAGGTAGCCGAAAGAGCCTTCCTTTGTGGGATGGTGGCCCATCGCGACTGCCCTGTACGCCGTACGAATGCAATGACCACAACAACACCTTCTATTATTGTCGCGGCAGTGGACTTTCCGCACGTGGCCTCGTGGCTTGCACCTTCCCTCTCCACGATGCCTATTCGGCAGGAGGACAGAGCTCTGCGCTTGCCCATTGGGTCTGAACTTCCTATGATACCTTTCTCGTTCCCCTTCCCAATTCCTCCAACTCCAAACTCAAATGCCGGCATCCGATCTTCCAATCAACCACATGCTGCAACTCTCTCCGGACCGCACTGAACGGAACGGTCGCTTTGCAGAAAAGACACAATGGCTCACAATGAACTACTTCTTTGAGCGAAGGCTGGTCAAGTACGCGCTCTCTGCCCTTGCAAACCCCCAAGCTACCAAATCAGTGTCACAAAGAGTCATGTGCACGAGCATGTCATTCTCAGAACATCCTAGGCCTTCCGTGTCGAGTCTCGTCGGCCCCGGCAGATGGGTCTGATCGATTATCTCCGGGTCTCATCGTTTGGCGTATCATCCCGAGACGATGACTGTCCGGGTACCAGACTCTGTCTCCGCATCGATCTCGGCAGTGGCAGTCATCTTTCTGTATCCTGGCTGTTGGGTCGTTGGTCTCCCCTGTGCTCGAACTGTCGTCCTTTCATCTCCAAGCATCGAAAACAAACGGGGCTTGGAGGGGGAGTCTTACCCCTGCCAAGTAGAGGACGCGTGGGCAGTCAAGTGAAGAAAGTCTACTTGGCGTGCAACAGCCAAGTAGGGCCAAGGCTACAAAGGCAGTTGTGATTACAGAATAGAGAGGCCACAGCACAGGTCCAGATTGTGGTACGCTGGGCATTCCAAACAGTGTGTTCGGCTGTCTTACGATTTTCCATGTCGATTCGGCGCTCCGTCCCATTTCTACATTTCTCTTTTCTATTTTCGAAAGCATTGGCGCGCAGCAAGTGCCTAGCCAGCGCCCAGCCATCTGCCCAGCCAACGCCCAGAGCGCCTGTCGTCTTGGCGGCGCGGCGTGGTTGTACAGCCACGCCCTTGGCAGTATCGCCACCCGCCAGCGACAGACAAAAGACAGAGCAAAATCACAAAGAGATCACCTGCTAACAATGACGAACACCCGAGAGTGGGTTACTACGCGAAAACGGAATACAAACACATTTGCCTCCATGCGCTGGTTATTTACATGGGGATCAACGTGCTGTATGCCACCTCTCGTATCCTTTGCAACAAGTTGTTGTTTTCGTATTGCATTTCTGGACGTTCCATAAAGGTTGAGTGCTTGGGGCGGGCGCGGAATCTCTCTCACCTTGGCTCCATTCCCGTGTGACGCTTGGCCCGAGCAATCCGGTACAGAACACGATGTGCATGTGGTCTTTGACTCCTGTTTGGTCCTTGCTTTCCTTTTTTCGTTTCCAATCGTCATATTCGTACCATTCGTCCCAGTTGCCCTATTCTCTCGGCGCCGCTAAACAATCCATATTGGCATTGGCAAGTCTCCTGCCAGCCCTTTCCAAGGGGAAGGGCAAAGAGAGAGCCCACGCTCGGCACTCTATTCAGTACGAAGATCTTCCACATGCCCTTGCATGCCAAAAAAATACCAGGCAACAAAATAAAAGCCCAGACCAAGAAGACCAAGACACAGTGACGAGAGAATGGAGTGACGAGAATAAAGAAACAGGGAGAAAAAGGCAGAGAGAAAGTAGTCAACGTTAGTACAAGACGACACAAAGGCTTGGCCTCTTCTCTTGGCATACCAGCGGTGAAGCGCTGGTTGCCCAAACAAATGGCCACTGGTTCGTTGAGGTCCTTTCGGCGTCCTCTGGATCCTCTTGGTACGTTTGGAATCTCGGAAACTGTAAGCTGAAGTCAGCTGCAAGTGACCTTCTTGTTAAATAGGTTTTGCCCGCCACCTTTCGTTTTGTTTTTGTGGTCCTGTTGTGATGCTTTCTTGTTGATGTTGTTGATGTTCCTGATGCTTCTTTGATCCCATTATCCGATACACACACTCATAACACTGGACGACATTGTCCTCCACATTCGCTACTTTCTTGACGTTCTACACGGCAAACGATCGTTTCCTTGACCCGCAGGCACACACCCGGGTTGTGCCAGCCGACTCCCGACGCCCGCTGCGTCGTCCGTTCCAACCGTTTTATCATAAACGTCGCATTGCACATTACACAATATGTGGTCAACAACAGCACAAGCGGTGGTGGCCGGCTTATTAGTGACAGGCACGGTCGTTGAGGCTGCCTCACAATTCAGCATTAGCTCATCAGGTACGTTTTGGGGCCCTGAACACAATGTGGCTTATTTGGTTTTGTATGTCACTTTGTGCCTAACTCGCTTACCCTCCCAGACGCCATTAAGAAAACCGCCAGCACAATCGCCCACGACCTCGTCAGCTACTATCACGGAAATGAGAGCGGCCAAACCCCGGGCATCCTGCCGGGCCCGCCACCGGCCGGAGACTACTACTGGTGGGAGGCCGGTGCGATGTGGGGCACACTGATCGACTACTGGCACCTGACGGGCGACGACACATACAACGAACTGGTGACGGAAGCGATGCTGTTTCAGACGGGGCCGCATGAGGACTACATGCCGCCCAACGTGACGGCGTCGTTGGGCAACGACGACCAAGGGTTCTGGGGGATGTCGGCGATGCTGGCGGCGGAGGTCAACTTCCCGAACCCGCCGGCCGACAAGCCGCAGTGGCTCGCGCTGGCGCAGGCCGTGTTCAACACGCAGGCGGAGCCGGGCCGGCACGATGCGACGTGCAACGGCGGCCTGCGGTGGCAGATCCCGGTGCTGAACAACGGCTACAACTACAAGAACAGCATTGCCAACGGGTGCTTTTTCAACATCGGGGCGCGGCTCGCGCGGTACACGGACAACGCGACGTACGCCGACTGGGCGGAGCGCACGTGGGACTGGATCGAGGGCGTCGGGTACATGGACGCGGAGTACAACATCTACGACGGCGCGCACGTGGAGACGAACTGCACGGACATCAACAAGGCGCAGTTCTCGTACAACAGCGCGGTGTGGCTGCTGGGCGCGGCGTACATGTGGAACCACACGGAGGAGGCCAAGTGGCAGACGCGCGTCGAGGGCCTGCTGAACCGGACCATCACCTTTTTTTTCCCCGACGGCGTCGCCTACGAGGTGGCGTGCGAGTCGCACATGACGTGCACGACGGACATGCTGACGTACAAGGGGTTCCTGCACCGGTGGATGGCGTCGACGGCGCAGGTGGCGCCCTTTACGCACGACCGGATCATGGCGGTCCTGCAGACGTCGACGCAGGCGGCCGTGGACCAGTGCACGGGCGGCGACAACGGCCGGACGTGCGGGTTCCAGTGGAGCTCGCGGGCGTTTGATGGGAGCGTCGGTGCGGGACAGACGATGAACGTGCTGGCGGCGGTGTCGTCGCTGCTTATGGACGAAGTGCACGGCCCGTTGACGAACCAGACGGGCGGCACGAGCGTGGGCAACCCGAACGCGGGCAGTGGCAGCGTCGACAACCCGACGGAGTTTGCGCCGATCACGACGGGCGACCGTGCGGGTGCGGGCATTCTGACGGTGTTTGTGCTGGCGGGCATCACGGGGCTGTTTACCATGATGAGTTTTGGGGAGTGATTTTATCTTTACCAATTCTGGTTTTGTTTTCATTTTCTTTTGTTTTGGGCGTCTTGGGATTGGAAATGGGACGGCATGTCTCCTCGGCGTTTTTGCTGTTTGGCCACGGCCAATGTTCTATACTAGCATCTTCTTTTAGATCCTTTATTGTACATGGATATCAACATTGCATCACACTTACTTTTATTATTATTATTATATTTTCGTTATCGTCATGAGTATCCTCATTTCCTCTTTACCTCCATATTGCTCCCCTTTTCTTTTGTTCCTCGTACGGCCCGCAAAAAAGGGGCTGCAATGACGGCCGTGCGTTTCAAAAGTCCGACAACGAAGCAAGCTGTTCAGCTGATGTATGTTTCGTAAGCTACGAATTCCAAAGCAAAACACATGCAGGATCAGAACACCACATTACGGCTCTCTTTCATGGTTTTCTCTATTTTCGCTTAAGCCACGTTTTCTTGTCGTCTCTCTTACCTTGCCCAGTATGCCCGTCCCGGATCTCGCTGACCGCAGCCTCTTTCCTCCGTTTCTGGAGCTCCCCGAAGATGGCGAGCCGTCCAACACAGAGTCGGCGGCTGTCACCCTTCTCGCCCAGGTCAAGGACAACATGACCATCACCAAGCCGACACTCGTCCTCACCGACCGCGACGGCACGGGCTTCGCGCTTGTCTTTGACGGCCTGGAGCGCGACGGCCTGGACCTGGGCAAGCTCGGGTTGAAGAAGGGGGCGACGGCGGTTGTCCAGGGGGCACGGCGGACAGTGCCTGTCCAGAGCGGCGACGCCGCGTCGTTGACGGCAAAAGCGGCGCGCCGGCCGTTTCTGCGGGTCGCGCCCGGGCAGGCGCACACTGTGCGGGCAGTGCCTGCCCCGCTCGACCAGACCGTGGCGATCGCCAGCAAGCTGCGGGCACGGCAAGAGCGGGCCCAGCAGGAGGGGCACCAGCACTGCGAGGCGTGCGGCGCGGCAGGCACAGGCGCGGCAGGCACAGGCGCGGCCACGGAAGGCAAGACGCTGCTCAAATGCACAGGCTGCAGCCAGACCTGGTATTGCGATCGGGTAGGTGCGGACGTTGTCTCTTCGATGTTTTGGCCGCCGTAAAAAGCAACTAACATCGACAGACATGCCAGACAAAAGGCTGGAACAGCGGCCACAAATCAGAGTGCAAAGCTCTCAAGGCGTTGTCTGCCATCTGGAGCGAGTAGCACCATGTCTACATCGGGACCTGTGGCAGATGCGACCGGAGATTTCGCCGACGGAGTTCCTTTTCCGGGTTTGTTGACGTCCACTGCAATATTACTTCGCAGAGGGCCGACAGGCTTGCTCTGCCTATGACTCCAGGGCGCCATGACGTTACTTGGCGTTCGTGCCACCCCGCAGCCAGGCCTTCGCCTTCTGCGCCTCCGGTTCACCGTTATCCGGCCAAACGGCCAGAATTATCCGGCCACGAATCAGTGCCTTGAAAGGCCCGCTAACAGCCCCCAAATCAGCACCCGACCGTCAAAACAGCACTCCTCAGAAGAGGTCTCCCGCTACGATGTACGAATCGTATACGATTTCGATTGGGGTCTACGAGACTGGCCGCCGGATGCTTGCGTACGGCTATGGTACAAAATAGTAGGCTTCCGGTACTTTTTTTTATCTGGTTTGGTTTTATTGGCACTAAAGTTACTAGCAAAGTCTGCAGGTCAAGATGAAGTTGATGTATCGTTTTGTATCTCGTCCAACCACCAATTTCCGTATTTTCCGGGCCGTACCACATGAGAAGGATTCCGAGCAGTACGATGCTGACGGTCGAAACGACCATGAAAGGGACTGCTACGAAGAGGAGGTCAATAAAAAGCAGAAGGAGTCTCGGTGCTCTCTGGGAACCATTTTTTGTTATTGTAGTACATTGTTCGTCTTCGTCGTGGCGTTTGTTTACAAGCATTTTTACAGTTGACTTTTGTAAGTAATACATACTCCCTGTAAGTGCGCTGTACGCACAGCATCGTCGGCTGTATCTCACTTACAACAAAAGCGGACAGTCTAGCGGCGTCACGCGACGCCTCCTCCACGGCCGCACAATGAAGTTCAAGGATGCCCCCGAGTACGTCCCTACCGACCCCAACAGCAAGGGCGGTCCCCGCAACGGTCCCTATGCCGAGCTCGACCCCCATTTTGCGGCGGCCCGCGCAGGCGCCGAGGCCATCATGGACACGCTGTGGAAGGCCGACGACTGGGAAACGTTCCGCAACAACTGGAAGGGCGAGAGTCCGCTGCCCGAGGGGACGCCGAAACCAGGCGTCGATGTCGAGGCATCGTACATCAAGGTCCCCGCGCGGGACGGCCACGAGATTGAGCTCAAGATAATGAAATCCGCCAAATCCACCAAATCCGCCGCCACCGCCGACGACACCATTGTCGTCCTGCGCATGCACGGCGGCGGCTGGGCCATTGGCTGGCACGACACCGAGGTGATTGAGAACCTGCACGCCGCCAGCCACCCCAACGTCGTGCTGGCGAGCATCGACTACCGCCTGGCGCCCGAGTACCCGTTCCCGACGCCGCTCAACGACTGCATCGACGCCTTCCAGTGGGTCAAGGCCAACGCCCGCGAGGCGCTGCACGCCAACCCCGAAAAGATTGTCCTGCTCGGCGGCAGTGCCGGGTCGGGCCTGTCGCTGGCGCTGGCGTTGCATGCGCGCGACCACAACATCTCCGGCATCATTGCGCTGGCCCTGGACTGGCCCACCGGCGCACACCCCAAGTTCTTTCCCGAGCTGCGCGAGCGCTTCGGCTACGAGCTCGAGAGCTACGTGCAGGTTCCCAACGGCGTCGTGTCCGGCGCTCTCATCATGGAGTTCTTTTTGGACGCCTACACCCCCAACGTCCAGCACGACGTGCGCCACTCGCCGCTGCTGGCCGACACCTTCGCCGGCCTGCCGCCCGCCTTCTTGCAGATCGCCGGATTCGACACGCTGCGTGATGAGGGCGTGGCCGTTGCCGAAAAGCTGCAGCGCGGCGGTGTGCCGACTGAAGTCCACATCTACCAGGGCCTGCCGCACTGCTTCTCCATGCTCTTCACTGACCTGCCCCAGGCCAAGGAGTATCAGGCTCGCCAAAACGCCTTCTTGGAGAAGACCATCAAGCTGGCCAATGCGAAGTAAATGGCGGCTGGCGGCGACACAGGAGAGGAAAAAAGAGAGAAAAACAAACCCAGAATAAACAGAATGCTCATACCGAATGTTTGTACTAAAAATATATCCATGTAAACGCACGACAAATACACAATGCCACCAACAATACTTGCAGCAATGTCATGTGCTATGCTGTGTTGTGCTGTGCTGTGCTCTATCCCAAGCAGCAGCAGATGGACCAACAATATATACATGTCCCTCGTCTGGTGCCTTCGTCCAACGTTAAACATGCTTGTAAAAAAATAAGAACAGAAAGTAAAGCAAACAGATGGTGGAGCATGACATAAGAAAAACAAGGGCTGCTGGAATGTCAAAGACACATGCTTTAATATAGTTGCTATGATGGCAGCGTCAAAGGTCATCGGTCGTCGTCGTACCATGAATCTTCGTACCATGTGTCTTCCTACCATGCGTCTTCGTACCATCCGTCATCGTCGTCACCGTCTTCGTACTCTGTGTATGCGTCCTTGTCCACCACCGGGGGCCACTATTCTGGTAGCGCCAGGAGCGCAAAGAGCCCGCCCTGCACGGGCCGGCTGATAAACATCGGGCCACCCGTGGGGAACTCGCCCGTCGTCGCGTCGTACAAATCCGAGAGGGGCCGGGTAGTGGGCGTTCCCTCAACATAGCGGATGAGACGGCCGTGCATCAGGCTGCGCACATCGGGTGCTGCTACGGCCGCCGCAAACGCCTGCCAGTCCGACTTGGCCCAGGTGTGTCGCGTGTCCAGCGGCACGCCAAACTCTTGGATGACGCTGCCGTAGAAATTGCTTTGCATCGAGTATACCCAGTCCGGCACAAAGTTCAGCCCCAGCAACTTATCGGCGTAGATGTTGTACAGGAGGCCGTGCGAGTCGGGCTCGTTGTACGCAAGCGTCGTATGCGGCGGGTTGGCATTCTTATTGACACCGAGACCCGACCAGGTCTGTATATACTGGGTCGACGTGTTCAGATACTGCTGGCTGATCTCGTTGGCATTGACGACGCCGCTGAGACCAGCGATCTCGGCCATTGCGCGCACGCCGATGATGCCCTTGAGCGCCAGGTTTGTCTGGTTCGCTAGTGCGCCGGCAAAGTCGTCCGTCGACAGCTGGTAGTCGGGGATCAGCGAGTCGTTGACCAGGAACTGCGCCCACTGGTCCAGCAGCTGCCAATGTTGCTTCAGGTAGTCTGAATTCTTTGTTCGAAGCGCATATGCCAGTGTCATGATGATCATGTTACCGCACTCTTCGACTGGCATAGCCTCATCGTTGCCATTAGGATAGCCGAGAGCATTGGGGAAAAGGCCCAAATCGTGGGTCGACCACGGGTTCGGGTAATGGCCGCTTTCCTGGTTTTCAAACAAGGGATCCAGCAGCAACCTGAGCAGCTCCGGGTTGAGGTACAACAATATCGGGTGCGCCGGGAAGATTACGTCCACCGTCTGGATGTCGCCGTCGGAGCTAATTTCTTTGAGAAAGATGTAGTCCTGCCGCGAGCCGTGTGCGACCTGCAGTGAGCCAAACACCTGGCGAACGACCAGCGTCGTCAACGAAGCGTAGTCATCGCCCCCGGCATCAAACGCATCATTGTGGATCTTCGAGTCGAGCAGCCTGGCATCGTGGGATTCGGAGTCCCAGTTGGAGTGGAACGCCGCCAGGCAATCTTCGTCGGAGTTGTACACGGTCGACCACAGCGAACGGAGGGCCTCGGGGCTGGTATTGTTGCCCTGGAAATTGATGACCTCGTCCTGGGCGAGACCGATGGTAAAGAGAACGTCTTCTTCTGAGAGAACAGAGCCGAAGTCACGGGAGAACGCAAACACGGGCCTGGAAAGGGGCAAGAGACGTTAGATGAAATGCTACAGCAAAGGTTACGAGCCGTGAGCTCTTGTTCGACAAACAGGAAGGACACTACGATGGGTACTGTCCACGAGAGGTAAGACCATACCAGTTGTCCCCGATGGACCTGAAGGTAGTGTCGACTTTGTTGTCGAGGCTGCCATTGTTAATGAACAAGCCTCTGGTGTCGGTGTCTGGATAGCCGGTGCGATACGACACCTAATGGTGAGCTGGTCAGCAACGTGCACCAAAAAAAAAATAAGGTATGGTAATACGACGCTTTGGCCTGCGGAAGCCACTTACACCGGCTTTTGCGTCTGTGCCGTAGTACCAATTACCCCATAAGGCCATGTCCGATGCTTCAGAAAAGACCGTGTTCGTGGTCAGAGTGAACTTGTGGAATGCGAGGCCATCGCGGAGGCCGTTGGACCAGTTGATCTGTCTGCTGGTGTCTGCGCCAGCCCATTCTAGAAAACGAGAGGGCAAGAAAGGTGAACATTAGTCAACGGTCCCATTGTCGAACCTCAAAGGGGAAGGTAGCTCACCGCCTGAAATGTCCGTGTAGACTTGCACCTCGTGATGGTTGCCGTCGGAGGATTTGACAGAGACTTGTATGTAGGAGAATTGCATCGATTGTTGTAGGAGGTCGGTGGGATGCACAGGCGAGAGGAATGTGGCAGTCAGGGTGACTTTGCTGTCCACATCAAAGGTAAACGTGCTCGTGGTCGCGGTGTATTCGAAGTCGGTCTGGGTCACGACTTGGGGACCAGGGGCATTGCCCATCCAGTTATACGTGACATTGTCAACACGGATGAAGCCTTGCCATCCTGTGGTCTGGCCACTATTGGGCGATGTGGTTAGCTTTGAACACCAGCACAATGAATAAACAATCACAAAAAAAGAGAACGAATAAAACAAACGCACGCCCAGAATTGCGGCCACGAGCCGGGGAGGATTCCGCCCGAGTCGCCGTTCAGCCAGGTGCTCAAGTAGGGAGACCGGACGGCGAGCGGAATTGCAGGTGGCCGTAGCGGTGAGAATGTTGAGGCCGATGCAGCTGGTGCAACGGCAACCAGCACATATAGGAGGGTGCGTATGAGGGTTCTAGCCGCCATGGTGTAGATCTATTTCAGCGACTGTGCATCTCAAGTCGACTGAAAAGGAGCGGCAGATCCGTGGAGGCCGACAGATGTCGAGAGACGAGAATAACAATAAAGGTGCAAACCAGACGAAACAGTCAGGAACGGGGTGGTCAGGAAGGCGCAGGCACGAGTTGAGAAGGAAGCTTCGACTTGGCCTGGGGCCAGGATATATAAGTGACAAGAAGGGCAAGAGCGAACGAGCAAATGCACAATGGGCGAGCGGAACACACGGAGAAGTAGAAAAAGGGGGGTTCAAACAAGAGGAAAGAAGGCAGGACAGATCGGCCATATATGGCCGTCGACGCCGGTCGAGACTGCCCTGGACAGCTTCCCATACTCTTCTTCCTCTTGGCCCGCTCCTACGTTTCCTGGTAACAATATCTCAACTTGGAAGGAGGCAACGACGGCTGCTAGCCAAGAACCGTTGCGGAAACATGCTGTCGCAGATGCTGCAGTCACGACGACCCACGTGCGAGGCCCAGCGATACATCGCACAGTCGGTGATGTTGTAAGGCAGGTTTCTCAATGCTGGGCCACAGGAGCTGCACAAACGCAACAACGAGGACGAGGGGCACAGGATTGCACAACAGGCAAGCAGACAGAATCAGGAACATTGGCTGACAATCCGAAGCAAAACGGTAATCGAAGAGTCACCTTCCACAACTGGACTGTCGTACGTCGAAGACAGTATGCAGTGCAAGCTGCGGCCGATCCAATCTCTCTACCGCTCATGTGAGCCCTCCTCGAGAAAACGGGCAGAGACCGCCGCGAGCCGGGGTCAGACGGCCGACACGAATCACGGTCAAAGCATCCTTGGACAGAAACAGAGGGTTCTCATGATCGGCGGCCGAAAGTGTAATTAGCTTGGGGAAGGAGCACGCCATGGGCGGAGCACGCGAGATCCTCTCAACTCTTCTGTGCGCATCTCTGAGAGGGTGGCCAACGTGGGGAAAGATCAAGGAGCAGGAGACAGAAAGGAACAAAACGCGGAGAGACCCATGACCTGTCCACAGAAATCTCAGGTCGCCGCATCACGACCGACTGCAGATCTAAATCGGAGTGTTGCTTCTAAATTAGAGTTGGAGACTACCCGGCGCAACGTTTCCTGTCATGGCGCCGAATCTGGCCATTTAAGGAGATTTTGGACCGTGCACACAACACAATCCAACCACATATCGGCCCGGGGCCGGGGTCCCCAGACAGGTGCTAGATCTGCACGCGCCGGGATCGTCCAGTGCGGAGAATCGGCTTGTGATATCAAGTTGAAAAAAAGAAGGTTAATTTTCCGGGTGGCTGGGTTCCTGTTGACGTTTTCTGCTTCATAGGATGATCTGGACGTTGCCGTCGTCTCTTTTCTGCGGCCGAAGTGGTGTCACTGGCCTCTGGTTGGTGAGTTCAGAACACCAACCCAAAATTGCCAATGCAACCTTGTGGATGACAGAGACGCGTGCCGCTGTGCCGCAAAAAAACAGCTTCCTCTTTCTGTGCCGTTCGTGAGCCTCTTGAAGTCTGATGGCCTGACCCGGTGCCTTGTCCTTCCCACTTGATCTGGTGGCCTGCTGCCCTCTTTGTCCTCGTCACCCAAGACCCGAGGCTGCATTACGTGCATGGCCTGGATGGTCTCGAATGCCGGCGCACCCCTCTTTCAACGATGATCTTCTTGCTCACACAGCATCATCGACGCATCGGGGCGTCGTCCCGTTCTGGTTAAAAGCTTTCGCCCGGGTCTTTTCTCGTCCAAATCGTGACCCTTGCATCCATGTATATATGCATCTGTTGCTTCTCAAATTTTTTGTGCTTTTAGTTCTCATATTCCCACCGTAGCCGAATTTCCTGATTGACGTTTCGTTAAGCCTTTTGTGCTGTCACTGTTGTCCCACACGGGAATAAAGAGACGAAAGACGTGAGGAGATAGAATACCCTGGGTTCGTCTGTGCCGCACGACCTGGTCGATCCTAGTTCATCTCACCAAGTCGATCACCGAGGGGGTCGCTCGCGATAGGAGAAAAACCGGCGTCGTCGGGGAACGTCGCCGAATCATGAAAGCCAGTGATCTGAGATTGTGTGTTTCTTCGTCAGTATATTTTTTCTCATTTTTTTTTTCACGATGCGCACACGTTGACAGTTCACCTGCGACCGAATCGTGTTCATCATCACACTCTTATGCAACATGACCCCCTGCCGCCAGTCACTTTTACGGAAGGTCGCTTTGGAGGGGTTCGATGGTCGAGTGAAACACAAGTGACTGACTGGGATCGAAGCGCGTGCGTGCCTGGTGACATTGACAAAGGCCAAGCAGAAGGGCAGCACATATGACCGATTGAAATTTGCGTATCTCTCGTTGTCCTTGTCGCACTCGGTGAGCTTGGCAGCACGACCGTTGTAGAGTTGGCCTCGAGAGTCGACGCGTCTGTGTCGTGCTGGAAAGAGTAGGATGAAAGGACTTGGCGGCTCGATGCCCCGATATGTCAAAAACAACAGCATTTCTTAGATCCCGAAATAGCACGGCAGAACGGCCATCTCAGGAGTTGCCAACTGTGTCCGTCGGTCCTGCCTTCCTGCTGCAGCGGCCATGTAACCTGACAAAAGAAGAAAGAGGTAGTTTGTGCTTCTCATCACGACTTCCCGAATGAGAAGTTATGCACCTACATCGTGCCTTCCTTTCCCATGGTCGTTCTATTCTAGGAAAAGGGGCAGGTCCTATCCACATACCACAACACAAACAAGCGCAGCTCCGTGGTGTCACCCCATTTTCCGACCATGGTGAACAGCATATGCGGCACACGCATCGCAACAGCGCTGCACTCGCACGGCCAGCACGACACAGCAGAAAAGCTGCATAGTTCACACCTTGCTGGTCTCGTGGGCTGGGTGACAGAGAACCGGGCGCAGAGGTGAATATGGAGACGAGACACTGAGACTTGGAGACATGGAGAGATGTGATGCACAAAGCTTCTGTCGTGATAACAAACAACAAAAGGAGAGCTCTTTAGGCCGACCGCAGAAAGAGAACCACCCAGGCATATGTGTTAGCCAAGAATTCATCAAGGTTCCTCCCTGCAGGTCTTCATAGCCGGGCCGCCACCAAACGGCGCGCCCGTGACGTCGCATACGTCACACTCCTACAGTCACAGTCGTCGCGATGCTGACCGGCCGCCGACTGTCGTTGCTTTCGCCTCTAGATAGCGCTGCAACTGTGGTCATCACGCCGAGCATCAGCCGAAACCCAGCGGAAAGTTGCTAGACTAGAGGTACTGCTCTGGATATGATGGACGTGTTGCCAGTCAGAGATCATCGGCACCCTATATTGAGCCTTCGCTCTGGCTCACGAAAACTGTCTTGTAGGCATTTTAAACAGACATGCAAGTATCGGAGGACGGGCAAGATATGCCAACAAGAGCCTTGGGTGTGTGATGATCGGCCTCGAGCTGTCTGTCGGTGCTTCAAACTCTGACGGACTTGTCAGTTCGGCACACTTCTGGCTCCTTCGTCCAGGTTTCTGGATATGGTCTAGAGTCAGAAGGTCCTGAACGAAGATGTTTTACATACCTCCCGCTATCGTCTCTTTTATTTTCAGACCCGGCCGCAGCGAAAGTAACAGACACAGGTACAAGACGAGTGCAAGGATACGATCCAACACACAATGACCTACCATCTGTGGTGTGGTTCGATACCGTGATGCCTCCATCGTGAGCCCTGCAGGCACAATCGCGGGTAAGACTGCCAAACGCAACTCTGGCGAGTTCATGTCCGTTTCTTTCCAATCGTCTGCCTGAACGGACAAGCTCGGGATCTGATCCTAATCGTTTTTTTTTGGCGTTAAAATACATATATCAGTGCAGCATCCGACGGACTCACATATCGTGACGTGGATCCAGTGCTGCAAAGCAGCACTCGGGCCGCACACTCTCACCATGCTAGATTCTAGAATATTATGGGCTAACATTCGAAAGTATATGCAACTGGATATGGTTCCGGACCACGGACATTTACATCTCAATAGCACCATGCCGACTCAGCAACGAGCATGACAATTATGCTTTAGTTGGCGAACAACAAACATCAACGCCGACCAGGTGACATCATAGTATCGTCAACTCCAATTCGTTGAGCTATTAATCTGGCGGTTCTAAGTCATGCTTGCTTTCGCAAAGCCAACACGGAGCCTTCGGAGCGTCGATTTTATGAGACGCCGCGCGGGTTTCGCCTCTTTCGCGGGCATATCCCCACGAGTTACAACACCCGACGGCGTTGTACAAGCTTGTAACCGACCGCATCAGAGAGAAAGCGACTCTGTTTCCAACAGTGTCATGTGAAATTCGCGTGTCGGAGCATGAGAATCTGGCTTCGTCAAAAAAGGAGGCTGTGCGACTTAGGGATGCGCGCCTATCCTTGCACCTGACGTCGCAAGAAGAGACAAGGCATGTGCCATGCTCGTATCCCTCTTCGTTCACATCGACAACACACCAGTACCACGCAAGTCACTACTTTCAAAGTCAAGAGGCGGATGTAAGACCGGTTGATGAACTCAAAGTCCGAGGTCCGAGGACACTTTATGAAGATTGATGAAATCCAGGTCTTTCGCCTACTTTTGTCGGAGGGAAATCCCGTACCAGATTTCACCCCGGACGTTCGCTGGAACAACGGCGGATGTTCATCAAAAACGGAGATCGGTAGTTGGCCTTTCGTGTACCTGTGCGGACTCCGCACCCCTGCCAGTCTGGGCATTTACGCCACCTATTTCGGCTCAGAGAAAGCCAAAGAAACAGACCCTGGCGGTGTGGGTCGAATGTTTGGCGCGACGGCTTGGCGCTTTTGTCACAGCGCAGTGCTGGAAAAGGGGGCTCCGTTTCGATGCGTTGAGTTCAGCACTCTTGGGAAGCCGACGCTAGACCCTTCTTTTCTTTGCTCTGCAGCAGACAAGATGCCGCCGTTGAACCAAAGTCGTCTTAGCAAGGCACACTGCCAACGACGGATGCTGAAACAAAAGCCAATTTGTCGTTGAGAACTCCAGATCTAACCTTATATTTCTTTTTTAGATCCCATTTTCTGCAAACAGGGCACTCGTCGTTGATTCCATTTGGCGACCTGATAGCTGTGGCAACGAAACATCATTGGTGTTGCAAGGTTGTTAGATATCTTCGCCTTCCCAAGTCGGAAACTTAGTTTGCAGTCAGAGACTGAAATGACGTCGTCACACGCGGGTTTACAATACGGGGAAAGGCACTCGCCACGCCATTATGCCCTCAGTCCCCGCGATCCTTGGGTAAGGTGTCGAATGTCTTTCTTTAGCAACAGCCCGCCACAGCCCTGCAGCAGTCGTGTGTCGTGCTAATCGGAATACGAGGTCCCAACCAATCGCCTCGTTTCGAGAACGGCTGGGTTAGGTAGACAAGCTGTGGCGCCGATATTAGTTAAGAAGGAAGAGATTCCGGCAAAACAGAAACCACAACGCGAATCCTGGCTACTGGGAAAATGAAGAGGACGAGAGGCTCATATTTATTGCCTTACCGCGCAAGAGAAACTGCCTCGCATGTGCCCGCGGGGCAATACGATGCAAGAAACACAACTGTTTAGACGTCATGCCATCTTACAGGGTCGCTTTTGGCGCACATTTTACAACGTGCTTTGCGCCACTGTGCTGTTTTCTACAGCCCCACAGGCACATGACGGCTTCGGCTCGTCCACACCATCTTTGCGGTGCGTTTGTTGCGGGGAGGGTATGGTATTCACGAAAAAGGCCCTGCGGGAGGAGGCTGGGACCTGATACGAAAAAAAAATCTTGGCACCTCAGCGCGTGATATAACCGGCTGAAACCCATCAATTGTCCCAGCACACTGCTCACTGCCGATTTCGACGATTGCGACGGCTGTGAGATGTGCAAGTCTAATCTTTGCTCACTTCTTCTACGATATTTCTCCACCTGTGTCAAACGCCCATTGTCTTCGACAGAGCGTGACGGAGAACTAGCCATTCGCTCCAAAACGGGACAGCAGGGACAGGTATTGCAATCAGCGAAACTGTTGACCCGGGAGACCCTGACTATGACAACTCAAAATGCGAGAGTACTCAGGATGTGGTGATCCATACAGCCAATACAGATGTACCTGCGTGGTCCGCGAGGAACCCTTATGTCTAACCCCTATTCACTAGTCTCCACGGACATACGTTGTGCTCATCTAACAAACCCACGTTGTAGCACAAGGGACACGCGTCCCTGACGGAGAAAACGATGCTTTGACGGCCGCGACAACGGCCAATATGCAACGCGATCATACTCCTCGCCTCGCCAGCGGGTTAGGATTCAAAATGACGTGCCGACAACTCCATCAGGCGAACTAAGCGTTGCGCTAGAGGCTCTTGTAGCTTTCCAGAAGGGAGGCGGGTGAGACGCAGAAGGGATGCGGGTGAGACGAGGGATTCCGGCTTTTGAAGCGCACATCAAGGAAAGGATGGCGGCAGGACCCGATGTGCAATGCGACAAAACCTGCTGGACTCTTCCTTACCATCCCTGGCACTCTGGCCCTGCTTTCACGCAAGCACCAATCATGACGACGATGATCGCCGCTTCAAGTCGCTTTGTCAGATTGTTATTTCGTACTGTTCATCGCTTGGAGATTTCTCCCCGCGCTAATAGTAGTGAATACTGGAGCCTCCCCTCTTCACTCGCCGTGGTCTACTCCGTAACGCGTTTGCTGTATGAGGAGTGGCAAGCCAAGAAAATTGCAGGACGAAAAGCAGTGCGACCCCCGGTCTCCAATTGTCTTGGCGTGCATTCGAACCACCTTGCAATGAGCTCACAAGCCTCAAAGAACGAGAGAGCGGCCCAAAACAAGGCAAAGCACCCAGCTGGACACAACGGGCCAAGTAAACGAGGATCTATGCGAAATGCGAAATGGCCACCGAAATGGCCGGCCCCAACAGCTAGTAAACGACGCTCTCATTTTCGTGTCTTTCTTTTTCTGTTCTATCTCATTTCACTTACGAAATACACTCTTGCGAGCCACAATGCCAAGACCACTATCACCCCAAACTCCACGGCAGCACAACCGTGGCACGCTCTCAATGTCCCAGCACATATTCAGGAGACGGGCCAGGGTTTAGGTCGCCTTACGCCTGGCAACATTCAGGAGGTCAGAACTAAAGATTAGATTTTGTTTGTCGTTGCTCAGGTCAGCTCACGAGGGTGTGTCAATTGCTGGAGAAAGGCACAACATCAGTGGCTCTACAAACCTAGTTGTCCCAGGGCCTCCAGATGGCCTAGGCCTTGGTATCCCGGCCCCAAGGTTGGTACAATGGGGCAACAAGAGCGTGGGGCGATCCCGATGCAGGTCCATCTTCCAGAAAACGCTAAAGGCGATGTTTTGCCGGCGTGTTTGACGGCGGTGGACCAGAAGCAAAGAAGGTTTACAGACAAGACGAAAAAACCAAGTGGCAGGCATAAAAAGGACGACGATAAGAAAGACACCAGGGACTTGTTGCCTGTAGCGGCCCCAAAAGCCTTGACAGGCCACTATGGCCAACACAAGACGACGGCAAACCGACCAATCGTCTGCCCAAAAGCCAGAAATGTACGTCGTAATTACATCGTAAGCATCAGAGGCGCCGACACCGCCCGCTAACTGACACCTGTGATTCAAACCAGACAAAAAAATGCCCCATAGGCTGAAAAGGTTGGACGTTAGCGGCTGGGCATGGAGCTTAGAATAGGAGGGACGTCGAAGTGTGACCATTCTTCTTAGTGGCAGCGCGGCCGCCAGTACGACATATACGGCCAAAACGCACCGAAACACACGTCGCCTCTTTGACACACAGACTACGCTATAGGAGAGGAGATGAATTGGATTGTATCTTAGTCCTTCACATGGTTTGTTCGACAAAGGAAGTCACGATAGGACAAAGAAAGGGGAAAGAGCATATGGCGAGGCTGACTTGGCTATGAACCCAGATGGGAAGTTACGCGGACACAGTAAAATAAGATACCCGCTCATAGAAAGCGCTTGCGCGGCAAGTTGTATCTTAGGACCCTCTTCTTGCCTCTTTCAGGTCACTATCTTACGTAGGACCGTTCTTCACTGGGGCCCCAGTGTCCAGCTGCATGTCACTTGCCCCCTAGCCAAGCCTGCCGCTGCCAATCAATCTATTCAGTCTCCTTTCCTTGCTTTTTTTTTTTTGTTCATCTTGGTGGTCTTCCGATTGTCCCACCGTCATTGCTCTAGGTAGACTGGCTCCTGGCAGGGTCGGACCCGCAAAGTATTTTCGTAGCCTTGGTCTCTTGCTCTTGCCTCTCGTTTTACGGAGCACGCTTTCTCTTCTTCACACTTATCTATCGACGTCCCGTCACGCCTTCTTGTCTGCTTCTTCTGTTCTTTCCTCTATTTCCTTCTTCGTCGCCTCGTGCTTTCCTTCCTCCGCCTTTGTTCCTTCCCCCCTTTCCCCTTCTCCATCTTCTTCTCCTTCCCCGACAGTCACTCGTTTCTTGTGTTGTTCTTGTCTTTCTCTTCATCCTTCTCTTCTTCTTCTTCTTCTTCTTCTTCTTCTTCTTCTTCTTCTTCTTCTTTCTCCTCTACCCGTCACTTCTTCGCAGGCAGGTTTTCTTTTTATGTTGTTTTTCTGGCCATTCGATTTTATGTTCTTGCTTGGACTCGTATACGACACGCTCTCTTATTACGCCCACTATCATCTCGCAAACACGACATTGACTTCTCGCTCTCTTCCGTGTCGACATCGGCTGGACGTGTTCTTTGGCTTCTTGGTTCGACGTTATATCGACTGCATACGAGCATATGATACTCAAAGTGAAGCCGAACCGCCTTTGAATCTCCGCACCGACTAGCAGGCTTATTCGCGTTTCGTATTCACCGTGTTACACTCTGTGATTTCTCGACGAGCCAAGAAGGGCCGGAATCGGATACGCACCTCTCTTCTTTGCGACCAGACTGGTTTCTAGTACCTTTTAACGACTACTTTGCGAACGGACACTGGGAGACGACTTTCAATTTATTTTTTTTCTTTTTGTTCTCGACAACCGTCAAATTAGCCCATCATGCCGATCGGAAAAGAAGGAAATGTAAAATGGGTGGACGTAAGTATCTCCGGCTCGTGGGCAGAGGAAGAAACAGAAGAAGCAAAAGAACAAAGAATCATAAGCCTTGACGAAGGGAGGACGCTCTGCTAACGACTACGCAAGGGCTTCCGTGGCTTGGCCTCGTCACTCGTGGTACTCACACACTTGAGCCGCTCCTTCGACCTGCTGCTCTTCGACATTACAGACAACGACGATGCAGCACCAAGAGTTGTGCAGTACCCCTTCATCCGCGTGCTCTTCCAGGGCCGCATCGGTGTCGCCGTCTTCGCCATGGTCACCGGCTATGTCTGCGCCCTCAAGCCCATCCGCCTCAGCCACCAGGGCCAGCAGTCCGCCGCCTTCAAGTCCATGGGCAAGTCCGCCCTGCGTCGTGTGCCCCGGTTGATCCTGCCGGCCGCCTTTGCCACCTTCTTGACCTGGCTCGCCTGCCAGCTGGGCGCCTACCACACCGCCGCCCACTGCGACAGCTGGTGGATCCGCGCGACGGGTCCTACGCCGGCCCCGAACTTCTGGCACGCCCTCCGGAGCCTGCTTAATAGCGTTATCGCAACCTGGACGCTCGGCGGCAACGAGTACGACGCCAACCAGTGGACCCTGCTTCCGTTGCTCCTGGGCAGCTTCTGGGTCTACGTCTTCATGCTGGCCACGGCTCATGTGCGCCCGCGCTACCGCATGATGATGGCCATGGCCATGTGGTTGTACTTTATCCTGGCCAACGACCCGACCTGTGGCATACAGTTCTTCTTCGGCGTCTTCTTGTCGGATCTCCAGAACCTCCCAAGTGCTAACAAGTTCTTGAACGACCATCCGCGTGCCACCCGCGTGCTCTCCCCCTTCTTCCTTGTCCTCGGCACCTTTGTCGCCTCGTACCCGGAGTCCAATCCCGAACGCGTCGGCTGGTCGCGTAATCTCCACGCGGTCCTCGCCTTCGTCCTGCCCACCGGCTCCGACTACCCGCGCTTTGCCTCTGGCCTCGGTGTCCAGCTCATTGCCATGGGCCTGCACTTCTCACCCAAGATGCGCGACGTTCTGTCGAACCGGGCCTTCCTGTGGCTGGGCAAGCAGTCCTTTGCCGTCTACCTGTTGCACGGCCCGCTCCTGCGCAGCGTCCTTGCCTGGATGCTGTACGGCTTCAAGACGCTGCCTGACACGCTCGATGCCGAGGGCCAGCCGCAGCAGCACGAAACGCCCTTCCCGGGCATGATGCACCTCTATGTTTCGCTTGTTATGTGGATCCCGCTGAACTACTTTGCTGCTCATCTGTGGACGACCTACGTCGACCCGTACTGCGGCGAACTGACGGAGAGGTTTGTCCGCTACGTCCTCAACGAGGAGCAAGAGAAGCCACAACCGCTCCTGCCGGCGTAGAGGCGCGGCAGCCGAGACGGGCGTGAGCCGTACGAAGATGGAGACGGCGGTGCCGGACCAAACCCGGACCTCGACCGCCGTACGTACACAATGGGTGAAGATGCCATTGAGCTGGACCGGTTGGACATCTTCTCCGACGCGGACAACGCGGACAACGCGAACGATGTGGGCATGAGCAGCGCAAGAGAATAAGCTGCCACCATGTACCCTGCACATTGTCACCGCACACACCACACACCGAAACCACCCTCCACACTCTACACAACCTCGACAGCATTATTGGCATTGTTTCTCTCGCATTGGGGCGATAAAGAAGCACATGGCGTTTGAGTCTGCTTTTTCTCAATGGGCATTTTCTTGGGTTTCGTAATCGTTTGTACTTTTTCCCTTCATGCTCTGTTTCCCTTCATGCTCTTTTTGTTTCGTTTCTGTCGTCACTTTTTTCTTCTCATTTTCATTGGCGGCATTTGTTCATGTTCTTCATTTTTCTTCTTCCACTTCTTATTGTCTCGTTTCTTATTTAAGAGGTACTTTTTCCTACCCTTACCCTTACCCTTACCCATAGCTCATTGCGTGCTTAACTGTTTACGCCGGATGCATGTCATATACTCTCATGCAAAACATACCCAAAATATTTATTGTCTATTCAACATTCAACAGAAAACAAGTCAGAATATTTGTACGCGATGTTACAGAGACAAGTCAGTGCGCATGGAGAGTATGACTTTACGGCTTGTTTGTGTCATGAGTTGTAGGAAGAGAAAAAGAGTAAAAGCGAACATGGCCCGGCCGACTGTGTCTCAGAGTAAGTCGTACACTATGCTCCAGGCACTGGTGGAAAGCATCTAGCGTCACGATACCACATCCCCATTCTTGTCCATCTTCTGGCAGATTGCACGACGCGCGTCTCTTTTTTCTCTTTTTTGAGCCTTTCACTTTGAACCCCCGTTTTGTGGAGAGAACCACCTGCCGAAATCCACAGGTTGTCTTTCTGTCTTGGCAGTCTCCATTTTTTGGTTGCTTTTGATGCAAAAAAAGGGAAGGACCCGGTACCCACACTATTGTCTTGGCATCCTCCAAGTTTTCCAGAGGAGGCGAGTTGACGGTACAGAAGACTTCAACGCACACTGGGACCTCTTTACTTTTCAACCTGGACAACCCCATTGCCAGAGGCATTCGATGCGTTTTGGCTGTTCAGCTTGTTCGTGTCATTATGACTTACCTTTCCCCTGTTTGGATGTACTCAGTTTCCTATTTGGGCGAAACGGTCCTTTACAGCGCAACTAAATCAGTGGCCGACTCTCCGCAAGCTGTCTCGGTACTCTCTTTTGTGGGCCAAGAGACAGTACCAAGAAAAGGGTCCAGTGCCAAATGTGTGCCAAAAACTTGCTGCTATTTGTCTTGGCGCAGGCTCAATAAGCCTTTGATCAGCGCTCCTTGACAAGTCTTGGCCCGCCAGGTCCTTTTTCGTTCTTGTCGCTGCGGTGCGCTTCGTGTCGAGCCTATTTACTACAAACTTTTGTTCCTGGCCTATCCCACTGGCTTCGTGCTATCGCCAGACGAGTTTAAGGTTCACACTGACATGGAGCTTGGGAATCTCGGGGTCACACAATCGTACAGACAGAGTAAGCCAACTCTCCCCAAGCAGTAAACAAGTGGGGTACCGTTCTGTCTAGATTCGTTTCAGCGGCCCTG